AACGACACTTGATTTTTTTACTTCTTGTTTAGGAAAATGAAACCCCAAGAGGAGCAAACCAACCGACCGGTCCGAGAGATATCTTATTGTGTGGCATTTGACATTTACTGAGAGAAAGAGATAGTGTTACTCCTATTCAATTGCTACTTCCTTTGGAGGAGGAGGAGGCGCACTAAAATTGTCAGTTGGTGATTCTCACTCCAGTTCACACATCCAAAAGGAAGCAACCACTTTCTAGAAATTTGTATACACTATACTCGTCTTACAATTTCCAATTTTCTCAATTAGCCAATGCCTCCGTCTTCTCGACAGCTCTACTCTTCTCGTATTCATTTGCCCGTCATTCTAACCGCCCATTACGAGAGAAAAGTTCTCAAGTAAACTTGCTCTCCAAGTGAAAACTTTAAGCACAAATAAAAAAAGCGATTTTAGTCGCTAACAATCTCTTCCATCCAATTCCGTGTTCTTCTAACCTACGAGTAAATGAATGAAATTGAATGAATGGACGAAGAGTAAAAAAAATATATAGTTTTACTCGAAAAAAAGCAAGCTCAAAATTAGAAAGGATGGGCTCACATCCAAAATTTTTTTTTGGTTGTTGTTACAGTTCCATTTCAAGCTCATAATTGTGAAGGGAGGGAGATCGTAGATATCCTGATGGATCGATAGTCGATTACTACTTTTGCCGAGAGAGGAAGAGAGATAGTTAGTTAATTAGTTTCCAGCCGTATTTACGTCAACTCCTCATCCAGTCCAGTGGTCACAAAAAGAAGTGAGGTTTTTTTCTGCTCGGAATTTTTCTATTTCTACAAAGTGGGAAACTTATGAATATTTAATCACAGAAAGGCTTAAACTACAGCTTACTTAATGCATACATGAATTTGTGGAGAAGAATCGTATCTCATTTCAGCAAAAAAAATATCAAGGGCATCCTTCTCTTTGATTAATTTAAATTAAGTTTCTTGTCTTACCCAGTCCGTAATCTATTCGAAACTTGAACAAAAAGTAAAGTGGTTTAACTGATTAAACAGCTAAGTGTGTTATGCAACCGTTTCGAATGGGGAATGAATGCATAAAGTAAACGATTCCATTCCGAGATTCTATCGAGCTGCTGCTGCCTTCTCGCCTTCTTCTTGATACAAGTCAGTGTATAGGAGATTGGGCAAATCTTCTCGGCCACCGTGGTCAGATGAGGTGATAAGTGTACTTGATAAATAATTTAAAATCTCTCGCCCTCCTCGATTGAATTACTCTTCTCTCTGAACGAATTACCAAATGAAAGGTAAACGTGATACTGCATCCAACATTTACAGAATGGTGGTGGTGGTGAAGTCGGTTCAGTCCTTCACAATTCATTACTGGACTCTCTTCATCATTAACTTTTAGTTTAGCACATCTAAAATTTAGTGAGCCGACCCAAATGTGACCTAAACTTGATTCCTCGAAGGAGGAAGCTGGATGCATATAGAGACGTATGCATACACATTTATTACTGGAGGACGATGGGTGCTGGAGTGTAAGATAAGAGAGAAAAGAGGAGAAAGAGCAATTTGCCCCGACTTCAAATCCAATCCAATTTCCGCTTATTTGATTACTTAAATTATTTACTAAGAGCTTTCTCTATTTTACTTCAGGCCCTATTTGCATCTTGCTTCTCACCCGGTGATACTTTTCCCTTCCATCTTTCACCTTCCATCATCTCACTCATCGGCACAGAAAAACCCTACACGAGTCGTGTCGTGGTAGCAATTTCTTCTTGTCGACGAGGTGATGGCCAATTACGGGAAAAGTTTCCGGTTCAACTATTGGTTCGAAATTGAATTATCAAAAAATACTTTCACATTTCCTTCGAGGAATCGACATTGGCGACATTTCTTCTGAGAACCCTCTGCCAGCGATGCAAAGTGAAAGCTCATTTTGATAATTAATTCGATTCCTTGGAAGTTTCTTTAACTTGTTTGATAAATTGTTGGTTAAACTAATAGTGAGATTCATCGTTATTCAGAGCAATTCTTTAAAGTTGACTTTTAAATTGGTTGCGAAATAGATTTTTTTGCTACGTGTCATAATGTTTAAACTTTCATGGCATCACACATGCATCAAAGTTTTCGGAAGATTGAATGTTGTCGAAGGTATGAAGAACTTTGAGTGAAAGGGCAGAATGTGAATTGGACTACTCGCTTCTTCTCCGATGGTGATATGGCTTTGCTTTGTGTGATTGCAGTAGCTTTTTTACATGCCAAGACCTCTGTGTGCAGTGAACGTAGGTTGATAATGGAAATTGGATTTGCCTCAATTCTTGACTGGCTTGGCATACATATGGATCAATTATTCGTACTTAAACAGATGAACCACCATTCAACACATGCAGCAGAGTGGAGGAGAGACTATGCAAATGTCAAGTTGAGGAGATGCCTTATAAATATGACTTTAATATTGTATCTTGCTGGTTGAAAAGTGTTGTAAATGTATAGTTGGATGCGAAATGGAAAAATTGGCAGTTGCACAAAACTCAAAATGTGAACGTAAAAGGTATTTTTGCGAATGCCTTTTTTTCGCCATACCATGCCAAATTTTGCACTGCCACATGTCGGTGCATTGAAAGCTTCATCACCTACTTACATACATGCATGGTTACATCAGCAAAGTAATATAAACTAGAGTAGAGACCGCGTGAGTGGAAAAAAGATGCAGCCGACCGAACTACTACGGATATTAGTTACTCGTCCTCATAATTACGTGGACAGTAATTATGTGCTCACAGTGTTTTAACGAGTGTGTGCATGTGTGTGTGAGATCATTTGTTCAACATACGCCAGATTTGATTACCATAATTGATCCAATCCACTAAGCAAATAAAGTACCTAGCTCAATCCCTATTGGAGTATGGTGTTAATGGCTTTCTTACTTGTCGGGATTCCGTCGTCAGTACGAACGAGCGACTAAATTATGTCGCAACTAACATTTCTGTTCTAACATGGGTCCACATAATACTTCAATTTTACCCTTTTATTCGGATTCGTGAGGAAATGAGTTGAGAAAACGGGTTGACCAAAGTTTTTGGATTCATGCATACAACATATAAATTACATGGCGTGTTGAAGTTTAAGTATCCGTGTGGTTTACTTATTTATTCATATTTCCTGTATGAACGGCACATTTAAAAAAGTTGGGCTTTAAAGTTTGAAATGATTGCACCGTTTAATGCCTGGTACTGGATGGTTAATAACATTTAATGAGAAGTTAATTGTTCCAATACATTACAGAATTCGATAGATACATACATAAATAGGGGCAAGTTGTGCCTAAGAAAAAATTGGGTATTATTATATACATATTTCACAATTTATTGGCAGTTTTGTACTGTACAATTGGCGTGACAAAAAAAGATGGTTGTGCAAGCGGCTTTAAAATCATAGAGGAAGGGTCAATTAATTGGCCATGGGGTTTGTGACCGTTAATCATAATGCCCACATATATTTATATGCGATGTTAAGTCCACATGTAAAATTAAATTAGGTCAGAGCCAGGAAGTCGATAAATTAAAAGGATAAACTAGAAGCTTATCTTGGTCAACTTGAAATGGAGCCAAGTTGAAATCATTATGTTGAAAATAATTGACAATCAAACAAATGCTAAATCACATCGATATCTACTTTTCCCTATCTGTAAATGAAAGATTGGTACTTTCTTCATGCTTATCGCATGCGAATATCGTATGAATTATGGTCATATTTATTTTCATATTGTTTCATAGTTCCAAACTGGGGGAAGTTTTATCACTCGGAAAAGCTCAAAGTTGATAAATGCTCGCTTCCTCAAATGGGTGAATAAACCATTCAACCATTAGTCGTGTTGCTTGTCTCATGTTGAGGATGGATGGTTCGTGGCACAATGAGACACATTCCAGCGACAGAGATGTATCTTTGCCCATCTTCAATTTAAATTAGTCTCTGCCACCAAACTCGTACTTCTTGAAGAGACAGAAGACCAACACCCAAAGTAAGCAAGACGAAGACAACTAACTAATCTAATCACAGATGTTTTATTAAGATTGACGCAACAGTGTAACACCAAACCAAGACAGGAATAAGGATGATTAGGTTTCCTTCTAAACTAAACCTTTCCCTCCATCCATCCAGTCCAAAATTTACCTACAATTTGAAATGAATCAACCAAACTAACTAAGGACATCCAAATCCGACAACCTACGGATTTCTGCTGACGACACTCTCACTCTCGCTCTCTCGTTCGTACCACTGCCAACAAACTTTTATGACATTTAGCACAGAGATTTGCATTTCATTAGCGTCCACACAGGAATGAATGTACATTGATGAATTCATCCTCCATAAAACTGACTGTGCTGCAATGCCACGGATGGTGGGCGGGCAGGCGGACGATGGGGAAAAGCTAAATGGATCAAACTCTATATTATCGACAGAGAGAATCAGAAGCTACTACTTGATGTGAACTTGTGTCGAACTGGACATTAGATTGGAAAGTTAAATCATCGTTTCAGTTTCAAGTCACGTATTTATCCCTTCACTTCAACTCTAGTTGAACTCTCAAACTGAACTGGAAGCAGCAGTGGATGACTTTTTTCATCCCACACATACGAAGATTTTTCAAAAATGCACCGCACGCCGTGTCATTCTACTCAGCAGTAAAGTCAACTCTGCTATAAAGTCCCTTAAGTTTCAGTTCAGTTGACATCAATCAATGTATAAGCCAACTTTTGCCAAAAGAATTTCTAACGCTCGATAACCTTGCTTGCAATCCAAGGCTGATGATGTGATGAGAATTTGATGCTTAGGTGCACTATGTGTACGCACAAGTTTTCTATGTATGAAATGAATTCAAGTCTGTAAATTACATTTCCTTGTGCAAAGATACAAGAGAGGAAAAGTTGTAAATAACGAAATGTCATTACAGCCTCTATTAATCCCAGAATTGAGGAAAATGTGTGCAACGTGTGTCAAAATACGGTAAATACTTACATGGCCAGCACGTTGACTTGTTTGGGGAATGTTGAACAGCGGATGTGTTGGAGGAAAGGAAGGCAGCAGCAGCTTGGTCGTCGTCTCAACTTCTGTTTGCAAATCACCATCGGCACAACGAGCAATATCCCCTCTACAGAAATTCACTTTTCTCAATAACACGTGTTTTCCTCTCTCGTTACAAATAGTTTGCAGAAATGTTTGTTTGAAAATTTGCCACTACAAAAAAAACCTTCACCACCACCAAGAAAGAAAGTAGAATTTCTGACAGAGTATTCTCTCCCCAGGAATTTAGGGAAATATCAAAATCTGAAAAGTTTGTCAAGTAGTAGAGCAGTACGACGACGACGAGTAATAATCTGTGCCTGCTAAAACCTCCAGCACAACAGAGAGTTTTACGAGGAAATGAGCGAGTATAAAAATGTGGAGAGTCTCCTTTCCCCCAAATTCTGGCTCAGGTGGAGTGCAGCGAGTGAGTAGTCTGGTGGATGTTGGGAAATGTTTTTGCTCAGCTTCTTCTGGGTGCAGTAGACGGATGAGCTATGAGAATGGAAATGAAAGTGGTGGCTGTGCCGGAGCGAGCTTATATAGATATGAGACGAGACGAGAGGAGAAAGTGCCCGGATTGCGTGGTGAGTGAGTGAGTAGCAGTCGTGGTAGTGCAAGTTTTAGTAGTGGGACGACGACGACGGGAGGATGTATGTAGTCGTGCTGGTTGAGGAAGCAAGTACCACAGCAGCAGCAGCAGAAGAAAGTGCTCTCTCTCCTCAGCCAACATCTGACCAAACTAAACCAGAGCTGCTGCCTGCAACCATACGTGCGACGAGATTCAGCAGCCGTGGTGGAGATGCGGCAGAAAGTGTGTATGGGTTGGAGGAGGAGGAGGAGTAGGAGTGGTCTATAAATTGGAACAAAGGCCTTAATCCCAAACTCTCTATTCCAAATGTCCAGGGGTCCTCCTTCTCCTGGTGAGAGAGAGAGAACAAGTTAGTTATTATGCAATATGGATGGGACACATACGTGTGTATACTTAATCAATTCCAGCTCTTAAATTTAATGTCGAGTTTAAGAAACAAGTTCAATTCTACATCAACAATCTCGCGCCTATTCTTTTCATTATCTTTTATTACTTCTTCTTCTGAGAGGGAAAGATATGGAAATGGGAGGTGGAGAAAGCGAAAGGAGAAAATGTAGCAAAATATTTGAGAGAGCCAAACGTACGTGTTATATTAGCCTTGTGGAGGAGAAAGTTGTTGGAGTGGGGACTGCAAAGTGTTAGTTGGTATACATACGAGTTGGCTCTGGTGGTAAAGCAACTTGAACTCTATGGACGGATGTATATATGAAATGGAATGTAGATCACAATGAACCAAGAAGATGAACCAAAAACCAGAGCACACAATGCAATCCAGCCGCCAGCAGGGTGTTCACAATCCGTGGCATCTGCTCTCTCTTCATCCCAAGCAAGACGAAGGAGAAGGAGGAGGAGGACGACGCGTGATAAGAGTTCTATTCGCAAAAACTAAATACATTGTTTTCCTATTAACACGGAATGCATATTGAAAAAAAGTAATGCAGTTTGAAAGTGAAGCTGACAAAAAATTCATGGATGGTCTATTGCATGAAATGGCACGCCGGCAACATGAAGTTGTATCGCTGCATTCACCACTTTTACTCCAGCACTAGTACCATATTATGTCTTGCATTCCCTCTTTAGAAGCATTTTTATATGTGCGCATGGAATAAGTGTACTGTAGCTTCTGCTCGTTCAGAAGAACTTGTTCAATTCTTCCGGTTTTACTTTCATCTCCAAATGGAACAAGTTTTAATGCTACGTTTAAAAAATGTAATTTCTTCTTTGGTCACAAAGTTGACCCGCATCTCACTCCAATGCATCCTCACTTTGCTCACTCACTTGGCTCTTTTTTTCCTAGCGAGAAAAGAATCTCGCAACTTTCCCCTCCGCCACTCGACCACCCACCCACCCACCACCACTTATTTGTAAGATGAAATGAAATGAAATTGTGAAGGGTTACTTGACGCTTTGGTGGTGGTGGTGATAACCGCAAAAGAAAATAGGAAAGATAAGTCGGGGACAGAAGTTCGCCTCGGGAGGACAACGTGGGTTGTGAAATGCGAGGACAGGTTGGGAGTGAAAGGTGTCCGAAGCAGTTATTGTGGTTTTCTCACCCTCACTCACTCACTCACTTTAATGCTCAAGTAAAACTATCAAAGTTTAAGCTGAACTCTTACTTAGCGCAAATTAAGATATACGTATGTACGAACATGTGTATATAATATTGCACTGCGTCACACACTAAGCGAGCGAACAATGGGGCAAGATTTTCATTGTGTCATAAGTACAAGCACTCTCAATCCGTTGACAGGCTGAATCATGAAGCAAAGCAAGTAATTCATTATGGTTGGTGCCAAAATGGCGAAATAAATTTATTTGTGCAAACCAAAACACTTTGTAGATTTGCATTGAATGGTGATTCTGAATAATGAATCCGATTCGGGGGATGATGGTTTGTCTAATTAAAGAGTCCTTAGCTTACCCAAGGTCTGCGTCACTCATTTATGAAAGTTGAGTGTAACAAGTACTATTAAGTATATCGACGATTTAATCGGGTGGAACCTTCTGGAAAAATACTTGGAAAGATGTCCCCAAGTAAATGTCCCTGGTTGATTCAAATGCATTAAGCGATTGGCATTTGCCACATGACATATTTCTCAAGTAGCCTTTGCGTTGGAGGAGGCATTCATTTGCAGATAAACTCTCGACTTGAAAGGAAATATATTATTGTTGCTTGTTTAATTTGGACTTGACCGATTGACATGTACGGGTTGGCCCAACTCATTAAGGCAAATTGGTCGTGTGCACAATGAGCTTTCTCTAATTTTACCTGCTTTCTCTAATTGTGCGATGTTCAACAACTACAAATATGGGCTTACGGAGGGTATGCATATTTACATAGGGAAAGATAATGTCAAAATAATTCCTTCTTTTGCAATTATCAATTCATAAATAGGTTTAAATACAACAATTTTACCTTGCAGTATTTTTAGACATTACGTAATAATCCAATTCTTATAAAACTTGTTGGATATGTTCAAGAAAAATTAGATCCTTACTCTCGATCGAATCTATGTATGTAGCTACATATGTATCCATGTAGTGCATGTAAAAGGATAATGCTGCTTACACACGTCCATTGTGTGCCTGCTTCACACAATACAATCTAAATTAGTGTAATAAATTGGTTGTATTGTCGAACACCTTGCATTTTTCTCTGCTGCTACATTCCTCTTGGAAAAGTAACACAATAAAGAATACATAAATGCATGCTAACTGCAAGATAGCACGATTCAGGGCGGAGAATAAAAACTATTACTCATAACATCAGGAAACACCCTCTAATTTAAATTATCTCATCAAACAGCTTTTGAAATCTGCACCATCCTGTCAAAGAATAACACTGAAGAAGAAATAATGGGTCAGGTAACCCTCCCAGAAAGGAAGAAATAAGTTGTCTTATCTAGTCCATCTCCCAAAGAGATAATTGTTCAGATTGCATTACACCCACCAGCATCAAATAATTCTATTCATCCATTCAGCAATATCCATTCAATTCGTTTTCTATGTACTTTTCCTGTCGAGTTTCAAATATTGGCAATAATGGACGTCAACCACGCAATAGATAAATGCGATGCTATAACATTTTTGGAGTTGCGCTATGGCTCTTCTGACGACAATCGCGTTATCGTCGCATCGCCGCATCGCTAGCTGTACACAGGAACTTGAAACGTTTTGATTGGGCGAACATCATGGTTAATCAACTTAATTGATACAACTTAATTTTGCGGAATTCAGATTTCAAGTGAATCAATCAACATAAAATCAAGGCCTGGTGCAGAATGCCTCTACAGAATACCTCAGTGACAGCACTTGTTATGCGAGTTCAGGGGAAAAGTCAATTGGTTCTCTTCATGTTTCGTTTCATGCGGTGGTTCGATTGGAGTTGAACATTAGACAGATTTTGCGAATATTGTCCTCTGCTGAAGGAGGAGGAGTATCCAAATAAATGTTCATGCATAACAATGCTTACCCGATATCATGCTATGCATGGTTTGCTGAATAAATAATTTTAATCAATTATGAGACTCGTTGAAAAAGTTTTTTGCAATAATCATTTGAAGCATAAGTTTGATTGCTGGTTTGCCACAAAGGAATATTCAGGTAGCATTCGAGTGAAATGAAAATTACTTTTTTTGTCATTTCCAAGTCAAAGAAGGAAGTTGGCAGATTTATAGAATAACGAGGAAGTTGAAAATAGAATGATCCACAATAATGTATATACACTACGGGACAAAAAGGAATAGATTGGATGCATGAACTGATTGTTTCTTCGAAATCTCCGAAACTGCGTGGCCGAATCGATTAATTTTTTTTGCACATTATGCAGCATTTAATCCTCTAAAATTTCTGCATTTATCACAGATTTGAAACTAAGATGAATAACAAGAATTACATATTTCCGTCGTATGTATGAAACCGCTTGGACAAAATTGAGTAGATTTTTCAGTTTTTGATTTATTATTTAAAATAAAAAAATCAATTTCAAATATTTCGACATTTAATATCTAGTAGGGCCTCCTTTGGCTTCAAGCACGGCAGTGCATCGTCTGTTCATGGAGTCTACAAGATGTCCAGTGACTTCCGGAGATGTAGCATTCCACGCCTCGATTATCCGCTTTTGGAGTTCCGTTTTGTTGGGAATCGGCGTCTTTCGGATCTCTCTTTCAATGTGATCCCATAAGTGTTCAATTGGGTTGAGATCAGGACTCTGAGGGGGCCAATCCAATACAGTCATCTTGTTTTTTTTGAAGAACGCCCACGTCGATTTCGCAGTATGCTTAGGATCGTTATCTTGCTGGAAGATGTATCGTCGTCCTAAGGCAAGTTTTGCTGCCGAACTTTTGACATTCCCATTCAATATATCCTGGTAAATATGCTGGTTCATTGTAGTTTCAACAAACTCCATATTCCCCGGACCTGCAGAGCTGAAACAACCCCACACCATGACGCTGCCGCCCCCGTGCTTTACGGTTGGGTTTAAATTCTTCATTTTCAGGGCTTCATTTGTCTTCCTCCATACTCTAATCCTACCATCAGACCCAAAGACATTAAATTTGCTCTCGTCGGACCACAAAACTTTGTTCCAGAACGATTGATCCTTGTGGATGTGTTCCTTTGCGAAGTCCATCCGCTTCTTGATGTTCCTCTTGGAAATGAAGGGCTTCTTCTTTGCCCGAAAGTTTTTCAATCCATCTTCATTTAATATTCTCCGGATGGTTTTAGGACTTGCCTTCTTGCCAAGATCAATTTCAGCGGAATTTGCAATATCCACCGCGCTGGCTCTAGGATTCACCTTAACGGTTTTGAGAATTGAGCGCTTCTCTCGGGTGTTGAAAATTGATTTTCGTCCTCGTCCAGGTGTATTGCAAATTGTTTTGGTTTTTCTGTAGCGGTCAATGATCCTCCAAACAGTTTTATAATTGAGTTTGAAAAAATCTGATATTTCCTTGGGAGTTTTGGACCCATTTTCATCTCCCTCCCATGCTTGGATAATGAGCGCCCTTTGCTGGATTGTGGTCTCGGTCCTGACCTTCGACATCCTAATTAATTGATGAATATTATGTAAATGACTTATCCAGACATGAAAATGTCGATTTTGAAACAAAAACATCTTACCTGGTCAAGTCCTGCTGGAATGTTTTAAAAATCTACTCAATTCTGTCCGTCTGAAATTTTACTTTTTTTAATTATGCGCATAATCAAAGCGCAGGTTTTAGACCCTTCGTATTTAAGTTGGCTGTTTAAGTAGCCTATTAAATTGTGCATAACATGCAAAAAGAATTAATCGATTCGGTCACGCAGTTTCGGAGATTTCGAAGACACAATCAGTTCATGCATCCAATCTATTCATTTTTGTCCCGTAGTGTATTGTTATTAACATGACATTATTATTTGACTGCTTTGTCCCTTATGAACAATAGTTATGATCCAAATTGTATTTAAAAGTAATTGAATTGCGAGTACCTACACATTTTGGAATTGAAAATTGAATAAAGTTTAATAATTTTCTAATTTAATTAGTTGATTGTTGCCGCAGCATGTGTCAAAAAACAAATTTTAAGGTACTTCCTGTTTCCTTAATTGTATTCGTATGGTAGCATTTTATCCATTAAATTGCCGAGGTCTCAGATCTTGTTTTTCAATTTCCTATCTCCAATCTCGTTAACTCTGAAAATTGAGAGAAAAATACTAAAAATCAAAAATAACTTGTTGACTATTACTTCTGAAACCTTAGATTTTTGATGGATATTTTATACACGCGCTACATTCTTCTTCGTCTTACACATAATTTAACATTTACTTCCTGTAATTGAATCAACCAATACGTAGGCCATGGAGAAAGTATTGGTTTGTGTTATTTAGACGAGAAGCGCCACGGATATGCCAAGTGCAGATTATCATGAGATGCCAACGAGATTCATATGCTCTTGATTGGTGTGATAAATATTTCGTAAAATGAGATGTTCCGCAATGACGGTGGACTGTCAAACAAAATAAACCGAAGGTAAATGTATGCATGCAGTTGGCACATTTGAATCACTGCAAATAGCACAATTATTACACAAAACACAATTAAATTTCCAAACGACAGCAGCAAAAATGATAAATTGTAATGCTTCATCAAAGAATATGGGCTATTTGGCCAACATTCTCCCAATTTCATTTCAGTCTTGACTGACATTTAGCCGTCAAAGCTATTCAGCCGAGCTGATAATTTTGAATTGCACACAAGTACGTCAGTTGGCGCCTATTGGCCTTAATCATACCAGCCAAAAACCGGGTAGTGATTTAATGACTACAGCCCCGTAAAATGGATTCGGCTGGGGATTAGATCATTTAGAATTCAGATGAATGGAAGCGACGGAATTGGAGCTCAAGTAAAAGACCAGCAGCACCAGCATCAACAGAAAAGAAGAAGAAGAAGCAGCCAACCAGCCAGAAACCATGAGATGAAGACAAAAAGAAAACAAAAAACAAAGGATTTGTACAGAGAAAACAAATCCCCCTCCGCCTTTGTTCTAACCTTTCCTCTCGTCTCATTCTTCTCTTTACACTCCTTTCAAAATCCAATGGTAATCAATCAATCCTTGAGTCCTCTCGTCTCAAGTGTCGCCGTCATTAAGGGTGAGTGAAGCACTCTAGCGCTATCAAATGTCACTCAGAAATGGCATTCTGATGTTCTTTCCTCGAGAGAGGCACCTACTACCCACACGTGACTGCTAATTACTCACAATCAGTTAAAACAACGTCTTGAAAATAAAATAAGGAATTCAAATCGGAAGTACTTTCTCGAACCACGTCTGATTTTTTTTGCTTCAAGTTTTCCGCGAATCCCATTATTTTTGCTCGCTTCCCTCTGAAAATACTAATTGTAAGTCGGTGAAGAGATTAGCGTCTTTGGTTCTGGTCAGATTTATGTATGTATGAATTTATATGTTTCGGGGGAATCCTCTTTTGTATGGATAACCTACTTGTCTAAGCCACCACAACCGTATCACATTTGTTGCAAAGTATAAATTATTCAACAGATAATTTAATCTATAGTCAATAGCCGGTAAGGCACTTTCCTTTGCTGCGTATTTTGGCATGCATTCTCTGACATCGTATGTTTTCGTCTGGGCACAAGATTTTCAATTTCTATTCAGAGGAAGTATAAGCATGGTTTTCGGAGTCAACGCTGACGCATAAGCTTCAAACTGCATAAGCACTGTTGCTTCATTTCGATCCTTACTCGTCGTCGCTTTTCATTGGGAAATGTCCTAGCTGGATGTTTTTTCTGAAATGATTTCATTACTGAAATTCCTAACATTCCTAAAATTCCTGAAATTCCTGAAATTCCTGAAATTCCTGAAATTCTTGAAATTCTTTAAATTCTTGAAATTCCTGAAATTCCTGAAATTCCTGAAATTCCTGAAATTCCTGAAATTCTTGAAATTCTTGAAATTCTTGAAATTCCTGAAATTCCTGAAATTCTTGAAATTCCTGAAATTCCTGAAATTCTTGAAATTCCTGAAATTCCTGAAATTCCTGAAATTCCTGAAATTCTTGAAATTCCTGAAATTCCTGAAATTCTTGAAATTCTTGAAATTCTTGAAATTCCTGAAATTCCTGAAATTCTTGAAATTCCTGAAATTCCTGAAATTCCTGAAATTCCTAAAATTCCTGAAATTCTTGAAATTCCTGAAATTCCTGAAATTCTTGAAATTCCTGAAATTCCTGAAATTCCTGAAATTCTTGAAATTCCTGAAATTCCTGAAATTCCTGAAATTCTTGAAATTCTTGAAATTCTTGAAATTCTTGAAATTCTTGAAATTCTGTTTCTAAAAATAATCGAGATCGGTTTCCGGGATCCTTTCCAGGGGGAGGATCCTATTAACTTTTGGGATTAATCGGACCACTCCCCCTGGAACTTGTGGGTGTGGTCGGGGGAAAAGTAGATTTTTACTTTCGAAACTTGATTGGATCCTCCCCCTGTGGTCAGATATATGATCCCGCAAACGATCTCGATGATCTCCATCCGTTCAATATTATAACTTATAACATATATAACATTAAATTGTGCAGCCAAAAATAGACCAGCCAATCCCCGACTTTCCATGGTTTGGAAGGAGGCTCTTCCACAAATATGTATGATTCTCACTGTGGACATGACTTGACTTTTCAACTCTAATATTTATGGTTACTCAAGTGTTGACCTTACTTTTCAGTGTGCCAATTTGTGTCAATGTGTTAGACCACTATTTTCGTCATAGATGTGGCAAATAGTAGGTTGGCAAAATACAGAGTGAAAATTGGCAAATTGCAGAACACTTGACTTGACTTAGGATACACGTCGGATATGAGATCATAAAAAAATAGTTGTGTTTAGTTAAACAGGTTTCAGCCATACCTCGAAGGTTTCCGATAATCCTCTTTCTACTTTTTTAGAATTTTTTTGACGAATTTCTAGCAAATTCCTGTTACCCTTGTATACATTTTCTGATTAAATTCAATGACATAACTGAGGATCTACTCTCTCACGGTTTAACATGGTGTGTATGTAGCAGAGGAAAATGTGAGACGCGCAAGGAGGATGAGATTATGTGTCCCATTGATCCATTACGTCATTTGCCAACTTACCTTAAAGTCACCCAACCTCCATTTGTCAAATAAGTGTATAGATGTAGGTTCATTTTGAAAGTAGAAAATTATACCCTAGTTTCCGAACACTTATAAATTTGAAACGATTTAACCGACTTTTTGCTACAAGTTGTTCGAAACGGCTCGTATAAAAATATTGTTTATACCATGACTTTGATTAACTTAGTTACTTTCACTGTTTACGGGATGTTTTATGTCATACGACAGCTCATGATATTCAATGACGCACATCAATATGCTACACATTCGAGAGAAAATTTAAGACTTGGGTATACATATGTACAGCAGTGCAGTAAGCCTACAAAGATTATTTTGTTGTTACCACGTATTAACCGTCTTCGGTTGTTTAAGTTCCGTTGGCGAGACAACTACGATAAGTATTTTTACGTACTTATACAAGTTAAGTTCAGTTCAGACAATACTTTTTCCCAGGGCTTGGTGACTTTCACAGATTTAAAATTGATATTATCTTGCAACATGTTTTCACCAATTAGCTAATGCATTCTCATTTGTGAAAACTATTGGGAAACACGTAATAATTAAAAAAAAGTGTTACCATTGAGAGGGAACCACATCTTTGCAACTTTCTGACGAAGATGATGACGATGATGAAGACACTGCTTTGGGTTGGAGGAACTCAGACACAACTGAAATATTCATGCTCAAGATCACTCTCTCACGAGTTAGCAGTTTTGCTGAACAATCGTTTAAAGTTTGAATATGAACATGCCCTCTGTTCAGGTCGACTTGGAGTTGATATTTTTACAATAACAAATGTTGGCACAGAGAGGATTGATGGCTTCTGGAACTGAACTACGTAAGAAAGTCTGTAGCTTCCGCAAAGAGTGGAATGGAAGGTATTTAAGTTATAAAATTGACGTGCAAAGAATCGCTTTGTCTCTGCAAAATATGTATGCAAACCTTGATTGGCATTAATCTTTGAGTCGAGGAAATGTGCATGAGTTAAGAGAACAATGAGTTAATTTCATGACAATTCAATGGTTTTGATTTATTTATCTTGAGTGCCATTTTCAATAAGTCCTATAAATTAATCAACGAATCACGTTTGCTATATGTACTTAAGTTATGCATATATGTATCCTAGTTATGTAGTATAATTTGCATAAAAACATGACGTGGAGTGAAACAAGAGAGTAGACTTAACAAATGACCAATAAGGGTACATCTGGCACCATTTGAGTTTAAAGAGAATAAAACACCCAAAAAATGCAAACACTTAGTTAATTATTATTATATAAAGTTAAATAGTTAACATTTTCCACTATCGATTGACATATCTCTTTCCCACTATAAATAGTTATTAATCTCAGGATTTTAATTTAGTAGAGTATTTTCAATAATCTTGTTTTTGTGCATCTCGTCATGCACAAATCCTATATGTCCTATTATTCAATGTACCTTTGATCCACCCTCTGAAAAACCGGCTTCGGTTTCATAGTGAACCAAACACTAAATACATACAGTAGACGAAACCACGTACTCGACAGTACACTTAATTTAGCTTAAACCATACCTGATGGAATATGAATATGAATACGTACAAGCACACGTGTGGTGTGTCTACAGAACATCCAAAGTTTAATCCAAAGTGAAAGCATGACGAAGAAAGATGTGAACTGGTTGTGATACGTTCTCTCTCAAATGAAGCACTCCGTTAGCAGCACGGTGGTGTGAAATAGCTTCTTCGTAACCTGAGTTCTAACCACATTTGCTGGTTGGGAACGTACATCTCTGCAGGGATGTCATCCTCCGCTGTAGAATCTGCGTCTCTGTCGGGGGAAGACGTTACGGAATCTGTTGAATAACAATAATTTATTTCATATGCACTTTTTTTCACGTCGCACACAGAGTACGACTTTGATTCAAATTTAAAAATCGCTCGAGTGAATCCTAATGAGGAATGAGAAATTTCAAGTGTGACGCAAAAAAAAACTTTCTCCTGGTCAGGATGGATCGAATGGTGATGGATTCTAATGAGGACGAAGAAGGAATGCATTCACCTGAAGAGGTTGGTGCAACTCGTCGATTTTGCCTCGAGGGTTTCTTCCCCACTCCGAGAACATCTCCAGGATTTCGAAGAAGCAAGTAGGCCACCCCTTCGCACGTCTTGAGGACCTCCAAATGCAGGATGGCTTTTCGGGCCTCCTTCTCCAACTCGGTCTCCGTCCTTATCCACTCTCGAAATGCGGTAAAGTCTCTCAGCAGTTGAACAGCACCCCATTCGCTGCAAGTGGATATGTCAGAAGGTTAAGTCTTCATTATAAATACATTCGAGCTGCATGTAGTGAAGCATTGCATTTGAATTAGTCAGCAGAGTAGATATTTTTATGAACTGCATCATGAAAAGTGAAGTCTCAAGATTTTGACATGTCGCATGTTTAACGTGTCATTTTGTAGCATGGCTGCTGAACTGAGGAGTTGACACTAAACTTTCCCCTGCGATTGTTCCGAAAAGAATGCGTAAACGCTTTTCTGAGGAGATTGAGGAGAGGAGGACGAACAAAGAGCACTTATGGAATGGGAAGAAAAGATAATCTGAAGAGTGAGAGCCCTGGGCCTTTTCCATTACCCATGTTCAATTTGTCTTTGTGCTCATATATTGGATATTGGTAAGACGTCCCCTATAAACTTCGATTCGCATTTCTCGGAGAGATATCTGCTCTTGTGTGGCAGCCAAGGCAGACAGGTTTTAGTTTAGAAATTCGTAATATCAATATTTTTACATCATCTATGCTTACTTAAGGAAATCTAATTTAGGAGAAGTCGCCTGTCTCCACTTTATAGCTTATCGTTCACGTCTCCTTTCTCTCGCTCTGCAGAGGGCAAGCAGGCTCAGGGAGGAGAAACGCTTTATCTAATTTATTGAAGCAACCTCTCTCTCTCTCACTCTCTCTCTCTCATGTGCCATGTGGATATCTCTCCATGTGGATCCAGTTTACAAGGTCGACCATGTGTAGGCGAAGAAAGAAATGAGAATTTGAACTCGATTAAAAAATATTCAATATTCCAAGTATGGCTGGTAAAAATTGAATTATTTTCAACTTTCAGTTCCTACATATATTGTAAAAAAGCAATGAAATTAAATATCAAAACAACGTCAATCCAGAACAACTGCGTCTTTCCAGTATTTCGCAATCTCAAATAAATTCTTCTCGATGGGATAGGAAAACAGAGAGAAAAAAAGACTCGGGATACAGAATCGAAGTATAGAGAAGGAAATTTGAGTGGGTAAAACTCACCTAAATTTCAGTTTCTTATGGAGAATGTACTGCAACCAGGCATCACATGCGGCATGAACGATTTGCTTTCCCATCGCTTCTTGCACCGGGCCTGGAATTAGCTCGACTGAGGCTGTGGTCACAGGCTCAACTACACGGCCTGTAAATATTCAAGTGATAATAATGAAAAATCGGGAAAACACTGTACTAAATATCGGTATCTTGTGGTTGCAACATAATTCATTTTTATTAGTTAATTGCATCGTATAATTGCTCGGTTTAATCATTTGTAAATGCTTAATAGGCTAACGATAAGTATTAGAAATATCGCAGGTCAACAAAGTCATTACAGAATTCTGAGAAGAAGAATCTTCCCTGCTTTGAAAATATTACTTACGAACGAACACAACCATCACTTCACAATAAGACTGCAAATAAATTGGGCCATTATTTAGGAAACGCTAGTTTTAAGAGATTTCACTCTTACGACTTTAATTAATAATATCCTCGTTTAAGATGCAAAAGGGTCAAGCGGATTTGTTGGCCGTTACATTTCCTATACCTTCCACATGGACAGAAACTCTGGTTGGCCCTTTTGCACCTTCAACTACGGTATCCCACCTCAAATGAATTATTTTAAAGAAACCCATGATATGCATTATATTTAAGAAAGGTTTATCAGAGCGCTATACTTGCGCCTCAGTAGTTAGCATTTTATGGCACTCTTGCTGAAAGGTTTTCTCTCTTCATTGCTCCCCTATTTATTAGCAAGCTCAGATTACAACCGTCAAAATGGGTCATGTGGGGAAAATAAATGAAATGAGAAACTAACGAAAAAACTGTATCTTGAAGCCAAATTGTAAAAAATTGTAGTTGGAATAATCAAAATTAAAACGTACCAATGAATATACTGACATAATTCGAGGGTTTGTCCGGACCATGTCCAGTTCCGAAGCCGCTACTTTTCCAGTGACTCGCAGGGGGCATGTATGATTGCAGAGTGGCCAAACTTAGCGTCCTGCACACAGGTCCAACGGTTTGCAGTAGTTCGTCAGGCATGGTCTAAAGTAGTAAATGAATATATGTACAAGGAAAATCTTGCTTCTGGATATGGTACAGCAACGGATTTTTTTCAGCCTCAAGTGGAAATATCTTACTTGGACCATGAGTATAGCAACTCTTAAATCATCAGCACAAGCCTTCCTATGTTTGGCACTTAGGCGAATTGAAATGTCTTCGTGATTTAGCAAAAAGTCTCGAGTGATTAACAGCGACTATAAAATTTCACACCCAACCACCATTCATGAAAACATTTTTATAAGTAATTAAGGCTGGAAATTGATCGAGCAGCTAATAATTAATCTGACATATTTTTTTTTACTTCTCTGGACTTGATGAGCTTAACCAAAAGAGCTGGTTCCCTCTGAGAAATGGCCAAAAATTGTGGAATAGCCCATCCGTTCAACCAGACTTTTGACCTTTTGACCACCCACGCTTTAAAGTAGACCAAGGAAGCTTCAAGTCTGAAGAAAATCTGAGCCTCATTCCCCAAAGGTTCCTCTTCATTGGCAGGAGCAGAAAATCGGCCAGTGTTGTATCCGCTTCCAGAGTCAATCATACTTACACAACTGGTTATGATTTGACCGAATTTTGATCCAATCTCTGTGGCCCATTGGGAAGGTTCGGGTTTGCTGACGAGAGAAATGTGTTCGGGACGTTTAACTTGATACATTTCTTGGAAAGCTTCTCGCATTTTTTCATCCCAGTTGGCAAGGAGGGAGAAGGAGTGCAGGGCTCCAGAGACGGAGTCAAATGCTGACAACATTGGTGAGAGATTACTCTCTGAAAGGCAAGAAGACAAGAATAGTTGAGAAATTCTGACATTTATCATACATCGTATTTTTATCACCCAGCCAAACAAACCGAAACCTCCAAACAACTTTACGGTCCAATGAAGGAGAGAGAATGAGAGAGTGATATTAAATATACTCACGTCAAATGGAATGTTGGTGACGCAACGAGTGAGTGACAGACAGGGAACCGCAAACAAACTCGAAAATGTATTAAGTAAAAGGAAATTGTTGTTTCTTGTTTAACAACAAATTGAATATGATGACAATTAAATATGCTAAATTATGCGGAGGTGGATCTTCAACTACACAAATGCCTATACACACATGCTGCAGAATATGATCATTCATTCATGCATCCATATTTACATTTACCTTGCAAATGTTGCCCAAGGGAAAGCGCATTGCGTAACGTGGAAAATGCTTCTAATGGCTGAAGAACCATGGGCAAGTTGTAAAATGTGCCCCAGAGCAGTAAATCTTCAGCATGCTCGCCAGCAAGTGTCCAGAGCACTTGATGAAAATAAGAGTACATTTTAGTCCTTGTGCTTCTACAAAGACGTTGCTCCCCATTTTCCGTCTTCTTGACGGCTGCATGCCCCAGGAGAGAAGGGCAGTGCGAAAAGGCCTTCCCCAAAGGACGCAGGCCCGAGTCCTCCTCAGAGTAACATGACTCAAACTTGCCTGGAGTCAACATTTCGGACGGATTTGTGAAGAAAGTTGACAACATGGTTTTATAGAATGCATGTGCAGCAAAGGTTGACCTTTTCTCTGCCAAAATCTGCAACAGCCGCATCCCATTCAAGGGTTTCATTGAGAGTTTAAGGAGAGGAGAGTCATTTCGATTGGCAGCATTGATTTGAACTAAAACTTGGATGGAGGTTATGGCTGATTTTTTGTTGCTGGGTGCATTTGTGGTTCCAGCCTCCATGTCGACCAGTGATGACGTGTTGGAGGCTGCTTCCGTCGACTCAGACGTGGTTGCTATTGACCAAGACGATTCTAACACCGAGTTATACACTTCAGTTAATTGGAAGACATTTTGAACCAGCTTGGCCACTTTCCCCTCTTCGGTGACACACCAGGATGACGGAGAGGCGAGAAGGTTGAGAGCCACGGTGATGAGTTGTTGGATCCCGTGCATGATAGAAAGTCTGTCGTGTGTCACCTGCAACTTGGCATGCTTCACCTGCGAAACGAATCAAATGAGACATGTCATTCGTATTAATGCGACACACCAAGTACGTCTACTTTCTAGAAAGCATGCTGGATGGAAATGAAAATATCTTTCAATGTATTTGCAGACCAATGTGTCTGCACATAGTAGAAACTAAATTAAGTATAGGCCTGGATAGCCCAGAGGAAGAGAGAGAAGGATAAAGATGAGACTTAATACTACCAACCTTTGCAAAAAGCGTTAATTTGCACTGAGTTTTGAAGACGGAAAGGGTTCCGAACTGTTTCTCAATATCCGAAAAACTATCAGAAATGCATTTAAGTCCATCGATAAACATTTGAAGTGGGACCCATCCATCAATTCTGACCATGTCCTCATTTCCCCCGCGTTCACCTGAACCACCACCACTGCTAATTACTGCACCAGCTAAAGGCCCCGTGGTGCTGGCCGCATTGGAGTGTCTTTTTTCCCTCAAGTTACTCTCAAAGTGATTCTCCTGCGCACGGAGTTCTTGGCGGAAGTGGGTCAACGCAGAACGAATCTGTCCCAGAAATTGGACAGCTTCTTCGTGGACGTTCCACAACTGTCGCAGCAGTTGAATGCATTCCGTGTTAACTCCGGACTCATATGGTATCCCAGTCAGGGAGGCTAAACCTTGTCTGCTTGGTTTTTCTCCTCCTGGTTTCTTGTTCTTGCCCGTACTGGGAACTGGAGACAGCTTCGTGCGTTCAGATCCAGTCGTCGTGGTGAGTGGGTCAGAAGTTGGGGCAAAATTGGATGGTCTGCTGCTACTCGATCCAGTCTCACCATGTCGAGCACTACCAGTCGCATCCGAGGAGGTCTTGTTCTTTCCACTTACAGATGCTCCTGGTTCTTGAGTGGTGACATGTTGTTCGGTCCCGTCTTCATCTCCTTCTCTGCCATTTGAAGAAGAACTCTGATGAGATTTGATGCCGGAAGACCTGGGAACTGATTTGGAATTGTGGATGGTCGATGAATGCTCAGCAGCATCATTGTTTACCGGAGGACCTACTGCATCCTTTTGTGGTCCCTTTCTGACCTTACCAGACTTTGGTCTGGTAGAGTTTGTCGTCCCATTTCCGTTCTTGGGAGCACGAATGGCGGAGGAGGTTGAGGAATGTGGACGGGTCTGCTGAGCTTTTTGGTGAGAATGCTGATGGTGAGATGATGCAGTAGGAATTTGCTTATTAGCAGTTGATGTTTCCATATATGCAGCTGGTGTGGTGGGGCTGGGCGTCGAGGACTCGGAATTCCCGTCAGTTTCCTTATGTACAAGACCATTTTGTCCATCTTTCTCCCCGGTGCTTTCACTCATTGCCTTGCTGCACAACCCAGCTCCCTTGAAGATCTCATCCTCCTCCTCCTCATGAAACTTGAGGTTTTTAATTCTTGTCCTTGTAATAACTGTCACATAATTGTATCAGCTATGTAGCACTCTTGTCAGTTATATATATATATATAAATGTCCTTCTGTTATCGTACAAGTATTGCACACTTACTGGTTATCCAGCAATTGGTCACGTTAGAGTTGTGTGACAATTAGTTTTTATCTCATGTTTCAGCGGTTTGCTGCTGCCCATTATTTTTATGTGTTGTTATGTACTAACCATCGTAGTCGTAGTCGTAGAAAGTGAAAAGATACGCATTATAATCCTTGCACGATTTTGTCTGGCACCTTGCTCGATATATTTTCAACCATTAAGACGAGAAATTCTGAGAAAACGGAGTTACTACTGCATACGTGGATACATATGATTCCTGCTAATATGAAGCGTCCAATTTTGGTCTCTCTTGTCTTCAGTTTCCAATCAAATCTGATACACTCGGCCTGAGTAGATGAAAAAAAACAAGGAAAAGTAACTCAATTCAGTCACAGATTCGCTTTCCCGACTGCTGTCTGCATCTTTATATTTTTTATTCTTTGACAATCTCCTCGATGTAGCTTTCTGATCTGACAAACGAAAATAATCCGATCACTTTCCTCTTTCACTAACAATTTGTAGCAGCAGCAGCAGCAGCCTCAAGAACCAAACACTCGCTCATTGTATTTTATTTCATTCAGAACACTGCAAACAAAATAAACCAGATCAATTTTCGATGCCTGCTTTCTTTGTCATTATAGAATGTCAAAATCAGATTCGAGCTCATGTCGAGTCAACGTCAAATTGGAAATGTCAAGTTGACAATATAAACTTGACAATTTTTTCCCCTTTCATCGCCCAGTTTATAAACAAATATAAAGTTGGATGTGATTTTATTTAGATTAAATTTGACTGCATAAGCAAAACAATTTCTCATGCTGCGATTAACTCTGTACGTACGCAACAAAGGTCCGCAACCTATTTGCGTAGTCTCAAATTGTTTTTTGCTCTCTTAATATTTAGTTGAAATGCGATTTCCTGCCTTTTATTTTCACACTTTCACCTTATTTCGGTTTCACCACCTATGGAATAACAACAACTATTGACTCTTGGTTGTCCAACCGGACTTAAATCCATGTGGGTTTTCCCTTCCTCGTACTCGCCGTGCTGACTGCTGAATAGCCTTTCTCTAAACAAACTATCTGGCAGAAGGTGTACGTATGCATGTACATACACTTTCCCCATGTCGAACTCAATCCTAATAAAACAAGCACCTACTACTCGCCAACCCACAACCCAAGCCAGGTGAGTTGTCCGTGCTTATAATCCGGTTTTGAGCAGCTAGGTTCTCCCAGACAACGTGTGGCACTACAATCAAGGATAAGTCCTACGTTTTGTTTTGATAGCACAACTCTTGGTGGTCGGAGATGCACACACAATCGTTTAAACCATTCTACATACAAACATTGCATATTCATAGTTTTGAAGAAAGGAACATTAATTACGCGACCTCTGGCTTGCCCAACTAACGGATGGACAATACCTCGGATTAGAAAATGCTTACGCTATACCCATGTAAATAGTTATATGTAAATATGCATGGCGAAAGGAAGCAGGTAAAAAACAATGTTTTCTATCTGCATGGGAGAAAGTTACCACGACCACCGCACCACACAAATCATTTTCATGTACTACCACAGCAGTAGACCCATGTCTGTATCAGAACCAAACGATCAAGCAAAATCCAATCCAATTATCCACATAAAGAATAACGGAGAGAGAAAGCGAGGTGGTAGTGGCTGGTCGTAACGTTTGTAAGCCCAAGTCGTCGTCGCCAACACAGAAACTAATAGTTGGTTGGGTGGGATGGGACGGGTTTGAGATAATCCTAATTCAGGTATAACTAGAAAACCACCCTGTAAAATCGAACTTCCTCTTTTCTCCATTGCTAGCTCAACCTAATAATACGCCAGACATGACAGACGCTACTGGCCATTAATTTCCCCTATGTACGTACGACCTAAAAGTGTGTATGTAGCAGTCGTCCGACATGTGTCAGACCAAATGCACACTGGATGGACACAAGAACACATATTCACACAAAGTACCCGTTCCATCTACATATATCTACTCTGCTAAAAAACTACTGTTCCACCAGGACTAATAAGTCTCACTTTTCATACATGAGAATGATGATGAATGGGAGAAGAAAAGTGCACCGTGTTCTTTCCACAAGTCTGAAACGGGACTGGATATTGCGAAAAGTGGAACCATGAATAAAAAAAATAGTTTCATTCAGAACCTTACTTTCGGATTTCGTAGCGTCTACCTCTTAGCGTTACATAAATACATGATGGTTTTTAAAATGTATTTATTTCTTAAAGCTAAAAATTCACGAAAAGCTATCGGGATTATGCAACTATGACGCATGAGAGTTGCACCAATCTGAGCATTTGTATGGGACTAACGACATTTTGAAAAAGAGGCTCTGTCGTCGTGGCTGTTAGTGGTGGGGAGGACTCAATCGGAGGTATGGCATGGCAGAATGTGGATGAAGGCAAACAACAATTGCGAGGAGAGAAGAAGATGCTACGACGACGACGACAACGAGTGATTGACTCCACACGCCTGTCGTTCCCCGTCTTCCTGTGGTCTTCCCTTTGCCCAGGGCGTTGAGCTTCCGTTCCCCCGTCATCCTCCGTGGCAGAGGAGTTTGATAGATCAATGAATTGTCCATGTTTTGTTTGCCTTCCTCGCTTCATTTGCTCAAGCCAGAGCACTGTCGAGGCAACTACATGTACGAATACGTCGTGTATATGACGAACTTGTAGCCATTGTAGAGACACAGCATTTCGCAACATTTCCCGTTTTCTAGAGGACCGTGTTTGTGCGAGTCCTGAAATTACGGTGTGAGTACCCATCCATACTCTCTCATGCATATATTACTTATGGATATGTTAAGCCAACATGTCATCATGGAATTTTAAATTATATCTCAAACGATGAGTGTCTTGTTAGATCCCATTTGCATTCCATAATGTTGAAAACGATAGGATGATGATGATCACCTTCCATTTGTTATTCTTTCTTCGGCAAAACATGCTTCGAGACACTGGGTGATTTATTGTCTCGTTTGTACCTACCTTGCAAAGTTAGGAGGTTATTAATAAGGCGACTAGGCTATTTGTTACACACTTGATATGCGCACATGGTGAATATGTTAGTAGTGCGATCTAATTCATTTATTCGTCAAAAAGGTGTAGCATTCTATGGATATGAAACTTTAATTAAGGTGGTTTCGGATTTACGGAATTGATCAAAGTCACTCAAGACGATAAATCACAACCTCATGAATTTATTTGATTGATCAAGGTTGATCATTTCTTAGAACGCAGTCTGCTCATAATTTGTTATTCTTCCATGAATAGAGTCCGGTGGGATATTTATTCATTCAAACAAATACTTGAACGGCATAATTGTATTGTTCTATCCATCCTTCTACACTCTATGAACCGCTGTGGGAATATAGAGGTCAAGTGTTCAATCTGAATTGAAAATACAAGGGAAATAAATAAACGAGAAAATAAGTCACTGTTGGTAAATCAACCTCGCTATTTCGTCCATAATTTAAAGGATGAATCGGGTATCTTGACGTTGTTTTTTGTCTGTTGATGTGATAATGATGATGATGATGATGATGTGAATATGAAGTGTTCAAAGTTTTTTTGACAATTTTCGGCATGATCTCACATTGATACCAACCAAACAACTGGAAGCTAATAATGCTGTATTTCCAACATCTCGGCATGCATGCGGTGCAAATAGTCCATTGTTAAAGAGTGCATTAGGATTTGCAGTTTCATGGCTATTTATGTGTGGTGCCCATGCGTAAAATCCATTGTCATAGATCTACTTGAAGAGCAACAACTGCCTTAAAGTAGAAGAAGCGTTTTAATGTTTTTGCTTCTTCAGTTCAATGATACCGTTGAGACGAAATGCAGGCTTTAAGACCAAACAGTAGTAGTAGTACAAGTAGTTGCAGTACAGTAGTTGGACCGATCCACAGTGATAAAAGATCTTACTATTTCAAAAACTTAAGTTTTCGTCGGTACTATGATTAAAAAATGAAGAAGTCCTTCCCAGGCATTTTTAGATCCGCTTACATAAACTGCTGGTACTATAAAAATCAAAAAATTCTACAGATTAAAAACACATATTTATAATTACATTGATTTTGAAGAATTGTCAACCTTTTCATTTCAGGTACATTCCAATCCTCCTTTTCTTACTGGGGCTCAAGATTTGTCTACTTTTCTTCCTAGTCACATCAATTCATCCTGACGATGCTTTCCAAAAGTCCGTAAAATTAGGACAACATATTCGTACGAATAGCACCACTTTTTCCCAAGAGGAGAGCGCTTTGAAGTTGAATGGAAAAAAAGTTGGCAGGCGCAAAAAAGCTACTTCACACAAGTCCACGACTGCAATTCCTCGAGAATTGCTTGAAGAATGGGACACATTGGCTCATTTAGAAAATGCCAAAATAAAACCGACGCACACAAATCGGTACAAAAAGCAGTATTACCATTTCAGAAATGAGCATGATCTTTAACAACTAATAGTTAAATTTCCTTCAGAACCAAAGCAGATAGCATTTGGCTCGTTTTAAATCGAGTTCCACGCTGTGGTGGAGGCACATTGGTAAAATTGTTGGAAGAGTTGGCACAAAGGAATGGATTTTCTCACCAACCCCACGAGTACCGAACTCCGTGGCCCAGGTACTTGGACGCATGTATTTAATATTGAGGGAGAGCGAGAGAGAGAGGAACGTGAATTTGCATGCAAAGTTGACTAAATTATGTTATGCAACAAGAAACTTAAAACATATTTTCGGTTCCGTTTCAACAGATTCTTGTTGGAGCAAGAGCAGGAAAGTTTAGTCACTTGGTTTGAATATCAACATCTCCCCAAAAGTTACGATCGTCATTTCTTCTTTGTCAACTTCACTAGGTATCAAAAGTACGTAAAGAGCCTTCGAGAAAGTTGGGTAGATCGGGTTATGAAATAACTTAGTTATCACTCCTGGTAATTTTGATCATAAAAGTATGTACAATCAAACAGATTCACAAAGGAGAATCCAATTTACATCAATATTGTCCGTGATCCTGTAATGCGAATCCAGTCCGAATTTATGGCTCGGAGAGCTGATAAAGAAATAGCAAAGGCAGAGATTATGCGAAGAAATGAAGAATCTCCAAAGTCTGGTTAGTGATTTTATTAGTTATATATTCTATTTTTTAGAGTTATGTCATCAACCCAGCCGACGAGCCTATATTTTTCCATTATATTTTAAGGACTAGCCTGGAAGAAGATGAGATTCGAGGATTGTGTCGTGCAAGAGGAGGAGGAATGTCAGTTTGGGAATGGAACACCGGATTTCACTCTTTCAATCCCGTTCTTTTGTGGACAACATAACTCTTGCGTGTGAGTCAGATTAATTTTCATTCGATGGTTCATATTTTACGTAACATACACAGATACATACACATGCATGCGTAGATGAATCCTGAAATATATACATAACCCAACGTAACCCCGGAACATGTATACATTCAACATGCATGTATTTTCAAGCCTAAAACATTTAGTTGTTCAGATTATTCGAAACTTTAGTACTTCATTGTTCCCATTTTTCTCAGTCAGCAATAAAATATAAAATATTACATATTACATATAAGATTAATATTATCAATGAATAATATGTAACGCTTAGGCTAGATTCGTAGTATGCACTCCTGCTAGAGTGAAAAAATGAAACTTTTCGATAATTCTGGACACAATAACAGTGTTACACATTCCGTCCAATTCGAATGCGTATGTATTGCGGATGATGACAATGTGAGATTTTATGCCAATAAAAAACAGAGCAATCAATGACAAATGGGGAGCACAAATGGCTAAGTTCAACATCGAGAGGTACTATTCTGTCGTCGGTGTGCTGGAAAGAATGGATCAAACTTTGGCCGTGCTGGAAAATTACGTCCCCAAGTTCTTTTCGGGTGTGACACAAATCTACAATCAACTGGGTATGTTATGTTACACTAAATATACTCCTACACCTTCCTCTACCAGAGTTTCTAACAAGTCCATGTAAATGGGTGGATTGGTATAATTGGTACAATATGTGCTCAGTTATATCATCATTTGTAAACCAAATTTAACGCAATTAAGTGTCCAGTGAATGAAACGACACCAAATAGGTGACTTTGATAATGAACGCAGTGACGCCGCTGACGCTTTTGCATACACTTTTTGTTTCAATAGTTGGAAATGGTATTTGATAGCATGATATGCATTGCAGATGAACACGAGAAAGGGTATTTTACCCGAAAACCTAATGGAAATGATCGCCCCGTGTCCGAAAAAGTGCGACAAATTTTGCAGAGGAAACTTCACGCAGAGATGGACGTGTACCGCTTCGCTCTCCAGCGGCTTTCACTCCAGTTTGCCCACCTTTCTGTTCTCTAATAATGCTTTAGAAGTGATTTGTGTATATTGTATGTGGTATTGATGCGACACAGTTTTTGGTGCATACAAAGTATGTCCGTATGTAATGCATTATGAAAGTTGTACAATAAAAGACAAGAATTGACATCAACCCATTATTTTTATGCTTGGTAGTGCTTTTTTATTACGTTTCCACTTAAAATTATTAGTAAGAAACACTGATCTATATCGCATAAAGTACATAAGTACTTACTGGTACACCTACTATTTTAAGTAATGTAGGTTTCTTGACTATTCTTTGCAATTTCTTAAGTCAAAAATTGAAAACACTGTTCTATTTCTGCTAAGTTTTAGTAACGTATACACTGCATATTTATACATCTGCAGAAAAGCAGAGATAAGGAGTGGTAACAAATATGTACCACCACAAATTTATGTGACAAGTCAATAGCGGCTACTAATTCTACACATATGTAATTACTTACATACAAACATGTCCACACACTGTATATTTACTAACATTTTTAATAATTGGCATAAAAGGTAGCTTCCTTTCAGCATTTTACAGGAAAATAATTAGCTGCAAAAATGACTGTCAAAATTACATTTTCTCTGCAATCTTACGGCATAATAACAATTTAAATATTTGTGAGCGTTCGTGGTTAAAATTTTCGATTCAATTTTTTACAACATAAATTGCACAGCTAATTAATTAGTATTGGTAGGAGGGTATTTATACCAAAGATTTTTTAAATCGTATACATACATAACTGCACACAAATGTTTGTACACGACACTGAGGAGGGGAGCTTCACCACCTGCCCCTCTCAGATCTTGATGTGCTTTGGATATGTGGTAGTGTCCTATAAGTGTACTAAAACCCTGAAGTGGTTTGACTCCATAGCCACAGTTACGCCCGCCACACCCACTCAAAGGCGCCAAAAACACGAAAAAAGCCCTGTTTTCACTCGTTCAAACCCTCGCCAAAATTCCAATTTTGCTCGGATATTGGTAAAATTTACATTTTTGTAATCCCAGATACTTGCTTGATCATATCCAGTAGCAATCTCAACTTTTTTGAAATTTTGAATTTTTTCGAATAATTCATCAGCCCGAAAATGCCGAAAATTTCGAAAATTTCAAAAAAGTTGAGATTGCTACTGGATATGATCAAACAAGTATCTGGGATTACAAAAATGTAAATTTTATCAAAATCCGATCAAAATTGGATTTTTGGTGGATTTTTGAAGTTGGTAACTTTTGTGGTTTTCATCCCTTTGAGTGGGTGTGGCGGGCGCAAACGTGGCCATGGAGTCAAACCACGTCAGGGTTATAGTACACTCATAGTACCCTACCACATATGCAAAGCAAATCAAGATCTGAGAGGGGCAGGTGGTGAAGCTCTCCTCCTGAGATTTTCAGTGCGAAGTCCAGAGAAAGTACAGAATTGCTACATGCCTTATTGCTTTGATCAAAAATATTGCAAATCATGATTATTGTAGAGAAGTATTGTGCTATCGTGACTGAATGTACGTACAATTTAGAAATGGTGGCGTATGTATTTTTTAATAAAGATGAAAAAAAAAAAAGTTCTGCAAATTAAACGAAAAATTGAACATATATGACACTGGAGAAGAAACAATTTTTTTTAAATCGCATTGCTATTTAGCATAAGCAATTTTTATAAACCACCAGAAATTTAACTTTCAAAATGCTAGCCAAACAAAATTGCATGAAATGTGAGCGTGCTTGTAATATGGATGGTTTGTACAACAAACAAGCTGGTTTTGCGTTGTAAAACAAGGTAAGGCATAAATTCCTCTCTCATTATCTGCTGCATGTTACTCAAGGGCTGGGCTTGCGTATGAAAACGGTCAGTATTTTTCTTACACAGAGGTAGCGTGAATGGTATTTGTAAAAGTTTATGAATATTTACGATGCATACATATCGATATTTTACCTTTCTATTTTCTTTTATAAAATAAATCCCTGAATAGTAGTAGTATAATAACAGTATTAGTAGTGACGTGGAGCATTAGTTGAACATCAACGGAGAGCTTGGACACAATATTTACATACTTAATTGGATTTTACGAATAAAAGTAGCAGAATGGTATCTGGGACTAGTATAATGAAATGAGATTATAGCGCAAATAAGGGATCTAAAGTAGTGAAACTAACTAAAGATGAAGAAATAGATGAACATAACCAAAGATTTCATTTCATTTTGTCACATCGCATAGTCTGGTTACTAACTGTTTCGCTACAACAATTTCCAGAATCAATTTGAAATTGGCGACACTGTAACATTAGCAAACACGTTTACTAATGGTAAGGTTGATATGATTTGAAAAATAAATAAAGCAAAAATGTACATACACTTGTATATATTGTAGAAGTGCAGGCTGAGGAAGCAATGGAAGTTGATCATGGAACCATACGACAAAAAATATTGTCAAAAAATAAAACTCTTAAGAGAAAACTTTGTGAAAGGAACGGGTATAAAGCTGTGTGGTGAGTGTCATAAAAACACTACAATGCAACAAAACAATACTTCCTAAATTAATTGAAGAGGCAGGAGCAAAAACACAATGGGAGGAATTGAAAAATAAAGTTAATGAAGAACTTAAAAAGCTGGACAAGGGGGAGAAGGAAAAGATCAGGGATATAAAAGCGGTTTTCCCCAATGGGTAGGGTAGACCCAAAAGAGTAAATTTTCTACATTACATTTCAGTTTACTTAAAATTCAATTTAATATTTGTGTTGTCAATATACTTTCAATTTCTAATAACATGTAAATAAAAGATAGTAAGCAAAAAAAATAATGATGCCTATTCGTGTTTTTAATTATTTATCTTTGTGTCAATGAAGCATAACGATAGAAAATGGCTTAATAATACTTCAAATACGGATTCTGCCACCAGTTTAAAATACGGATTCTGCGGATCTTGAAAGATGGATGGGATGCGAAGGTGATCGAGCGAGCCTCTTTTTTGGTAACCTTTCCACAATCTTTTGAATTTTAGCAAAGTCTAGACGATCTTCTGGTCTTGCAGCCCAGCAGCTCATCAATATTTCCTGTTATAAGGTAACATCAATTATTCTACTATTAAGTTCCACTATATGCAATACGCATTGCATTTGAATAATTAGAGCTAAGTATTACCTTGACATCTCGCGAAAAGAGGGTAGGAAGTGGTTGACGAATTCCGGATCCCACTTGCCAGATTATTGCTTCTGCCGGTAGACCTTGGTAAGGCCAGTCACTTGTCAGAAGTTCATACCAAACAGTGCCAAAGGCGTATATATCAGAAGCGGTGGTAAATGGAAATTCTATGTCTTGTTTGGACACGGGTCTTAATGCCTTCATTATTTCAGGAGCCAAGTAGCACAGCCACCCTGGCGGAATGCTTAACGAATCTCCTTCCCTGTAAATCGTAAATGAATAATATATATATAATGTATTGATGGACATACGCAAAAATGTAGTTGTTATACGTTATTATTATTTAGTATATGGATACATGACAATACAAAAGTAATATTGCACTCACCTAAGCCCTTGGCACAGTTTTGTGACGCTGAATAATCCAAAATCAGTTATGACAACTTTCCCGTTTCCACTTTCGATGAAAATGTTTTTTGATTTAAGATCTTTGTGGATAATTCCTCGAGCATGTAGGTATCCCATTCCCTGAGTAATTTGAGCAGCAATGGCTGCAATACGATTCATATTGAATTTATCCTTGCGAAGATGAACGTGAGTATAGAGAGACATGCCCTTGCACATGGACGTGACAATAGCTAATCTTGGGGGTTTCATACACGCTCCCATAAACAAGACCAAGTTTTCATGACGAGTTTTGCGAAACGTAGCAACTTCTTGTCTAAACTGTTCTAGCGTTTTTTCGTTATCCAAATACATGTCCAACAACTTGATGGCTACATCACCGTGCCAGTTTCCACGATATACGGTTCCAAAATGCCCAGTTCCGATTTTATCACCAAGTTTGAGTTCATCAAATGGAATGTCCCACTCTCGATTGGAAAGCTATTAAATATATTCAACGATTTATTTAAATGAATATTTAATATTTGCATGGTTATATTAAAATATATTATAAAGATCAAACAAACCGAATTTTGTCTGGGCCAAGACCGTTCACCAGGCTCTCCATCAGAAACTTGACTGTCCTGGCTGTCAACCCTGAGCGCTAATGTTTTTTCAGAATCTGTACTTCCTGATCCTGAGGTCTGAGAAATGGTGCGATCCGAGTCATTTGACTTTTCAGTACTTGTGAGATCAATTGTGCGTTCCGACAAGGTTCGATCAATTAGCGGTCCTGAATCCAGTGACACTCCACGGTCTACATCTAGTGCGATAATAATAAATTGAAATTAGAGACCATATACTTTGTATAGAATATAATACGAAATAGATGCTGAATAAAAATATTTATTACCCGTTGGAAAGAAATGGTTACTATTATTAGAGTACGATGAGGCGGGACCTGAGTTTGGTGCAAAGAAAGGGCTCGAAGGGGTTGAACTGTTACAACTTGAAGTGTTGGAACTAGAGTCTTGACCCTGCAAACAAATATAGATTATATTCCATTACAACATTTTAACTGCTGCAATAATGTATATCACAAAAGTGCATATTTATAAATCACACAAACAAACAAAAACATACAGGGAAAGGTTGTATCATATTTCCAGGAGGGCGAGTTTTCTTTCTATCCCGTTTTCCCCAGTGAGAAGGTGATGCTGTAAAACTAGGCATAGGTCTATCTACTGGAATATAACAAGAAGCTTGTTAAAAAATTGATGAATTTATAATCTGATGCGCAACAAAATAATTCGTTAAAATATGTACCATCTTGTTTAAGATATTGTGCGAAAACGTCTATGAATTCAGTGGGAAGTCCACATGATGGTGGAACTTTAGGCTGAAACATAAAAAGTCATTGACTTTCAGTGAAAGACCAAAATTTCTCGATCACTCTTCCAAGATTTGTTTCTATATATTTCTAAAGTAGAGGTACCACAATTGGTATAGGATAAGAGTGGAAAAGTTTTGTTTATAGATTAGACTGACTTCCCTGATACCGAAGTTTTAACTACATCCAATAATATTCTAAATAATAAGTGCCTTACCTCACAGTCGCGGTGACATTTAAATTTACACTCCTTACACCGCAGACCTATGATGACTTGTTTAAAGCAGTAATCACAAGTTGTGACTTTAATCATTTTGGCAAATCTGTGTGAGATCATATGACCCATGCTTCTTGCCAACGTTGGAGTCCTTGGAGATTTAGGTACTTGAAGTGAATCTTTAATATAGTCAAAGATAAATCAATTATGATAAGATCCATTTATACTTTGTAGCTTTGTAGAAAAATGCATTTTGGAAGATAAATAAAATAAAAACAATTCTTGCTTTTGTGCGGATCCAGCTCATCTCCGATATCAATGTGGTGATGAAGGGGAGGTGACTTTATTGGGCTTGCGGAGGAAGGCGATGCATATCCACCCATGGAATTATTCACGGAGCTCACGGAGGCCGAAACCGAGCATGCATTGCTTGTTGAGGGGGTGGCAGAGGAAGGGTCCCAAGTGGACGTTGCAACCCCAGGCCCAGGTTCCGTAGGCAGTCTCTCTCGTCTCTTTCCGGCCGGCAATTGGTCCAAACTATAGCCCATAGTGATTCCGATACTCAAATTTAGCCACGGTGTAGAAAACGCATTCATTAAATTCATATCCTTCACACTTCTGGATACATTGGGTTTGGCAGTGTACAAGTGTGGACTACGACAATCATCACGTAATCGGTGACAGACGAAAGTGGAAAAACGGAACAAAGCATGCCACAAAATCATCAAGACACACACGAACATCAGAGCGAGCGAGCAGTAGTGTGCAATCAGTCAGTGCATCACAACAGGGTCGGGACAGGATCGCCACGAGAAAGAACAAACAAACATACAATACAAATAAATTAAGTTTATGGTACAATAAACTCTTGCAAGGAAACGTAAAAAGACAAGAAACATGCAACAAAGACAAGATGGATAGGAAATAGAATATCATGCCAATGTACATGTTTATTATTTGCTAAGCTAAATATTGTCCTATGTGCGAGGTCATGTCACACAATTCCCATACCCCCCAAAACAAGAAAAAGGATTCGCAAACCAACTAATGTATAGATAAAGTATGCAACGTACTTCTTGCATGAAGTGTGCACATATACTATATATATACTACATAGTACTGTGTGTGTGCAAACCAAGTTCGTGCTAAGAAGCAATAATAAAAAAAGTTTACGAAAAATTTGTGCTTGTTAAAAAAACTTACAATTGTTTCAAAGTTTTATAATTTGTTAGAAGCATGTAGAGAGAAAATCGAGCAACTTTACAACTTAATAAAGCACTACTAAGCAGACACTGATGGATGCCTCGGCAGTTGTTAATAGTTACAAGTATTGCAGCAAAACCTCTAGAAAAACTATTTTTCAATAGGGGTATTTATTTAAGAGTATAGATATTTATGTACGTAGGCCCAAGGTTCGAAATTCTTAATTTAAAAAACGTCAAACTTTTCTAGGGAGACAAATTTCAAAGTACTCCCTGAGAGGGCACCCCCACGACCTCCAGGAATACGAGGTCAAAGGATCGGCCCCCTTAGACCGTACTCTTGATTACATGGCTCAAAATATGCTGTATGTCGCATCCTTCTATCTCAAAAGGGCTCGCCACACGGGCCCTTAAATTGAACATTTTTGTTGGGCAACAACATACACATTTACTTCCATAACACTTGGAAGTACATGAGGAAAGATAGAAAAATGCAGGATCAGAAGAAACATTAATTTGCCAACAAATTGCGAGACAGGTAATGTTACTTCTAGATATGTGTAAGCAATAAAAGCTTACAACTTGAAGCAACCCATATTATTTTCAGTAGTTTCATTATACATATTACAGTGAGTTTAGTTAAGTTGTCGATTGCATTAAACTAAACTTACCTAACAAGATTGTTTTCAGATACGGACTCGATGCGATTTGCTAATTGCGACTCGTGGGACTTGGACTTTGTCAGAGAAAAACTTTCGGGCTGTAAGTTACTATTGGATGCACCAATTTGTGATAAGGGTACAGAATGCTTCTTTCCTGAAAATAATGTCAAGTATTACGTACTTATTTTTAGCCCTGACACATTAGAACGTTTTGAACTATTTTATTTTGAGCTGTACATAAAAATGGGTTATGCAATTTAACCACTATAACGTTACCTTTGACGGGAGGAGTTGAAGGTGGGGTTGGTCCATGCTCGCCACATGATGCCGGTGATGTTGATGATGGAGAAAAGACTGAGGAATTTGTAGGGGAACATGTATTAGGGTGAGATCCAGGGGAAAAGGCTGGAGAGTTTAGAGAAGAAGGGGCAATTGTGGTGACTGGGGTACAGGGTGTGGTTGAGCAAGAATTTTGCCCTGAAGTTCCTTGCCGACAATTTCCGTCCCTGAGATATTCTTCAGAAGAAACAGAACTACGAGCAGCTCGGAGACCAATATGCGGACTTGCTGATGAAGGAATTGACTCATTGTGTACTTTTTGCATATCCCAGGAATCCCAGTACAGGTCGTTCAAGTCATTATTGACGGCAGGTACGCTTGACACTTGATTTTCTTTTTGATTTCTGCTTCTTAAATCTATAATAAATATTGGTTCGTATACGTTTTTGAAATATTAATCAAATTAAGAAATAATAATAATTATTATAATGAAAAATACCAGTATATCGCTTCAAGTTCTGTAAGGCTCTGGTCAATCTTCGAGTTTCTTCATCGTTTGCATGATGTTCAGCCATTAAATTTCTAATTTCATGGTCGGACCTTTCCTTCAGGCTTTCTAAACTTGCAGCACGATTGCAGATTCCCTGTAAAAGAGAAGTAACGTTAAATTAAGTTTAATAAAATCTAATAAACTAAGGTAATGAAGTAAATTCATACTCGACTAAAAAGTTTATATATACCTGTGTCAACTTCGAGGTCAGTCCAACAACTTGAAGCCATAATCTCAAAGACCTGGTCTGAAATTCTGGAGGTAGATTTTGTGTTGAGATCATCTTTTTTGCTACTAATTGATCACTAAACATTTTCACCAGCTTCCCCTGTAAGGAAATATAAATAAATTGTAATTATAGTTAAAAGTAAGTATGGCAGTACCGTAGTAGTGAAATAGATTATTAATTTCATTACTTCTAAGGTTCGTATTTCCTGATGTGTGATTTCAGCATTGGTTGCACATTGAGTTCGAAGCCCGTCCAGCCGTTCTGCAGACAAACTTATGATAGGGTTTAGAATTTTCAACGTTTCCAAGGCCTTAGCTTCGTCAGGCGATAGAACGCCGACGTCCATATTCAACCCCCCGTCCATATCTGGCTTCATCTATGTGTGTGCGTTTTTCTTAATACCACCTCAACATTATTTTACAGCAGTTTACTCTTGTTTCACGTATATCGCCGTCGGGGTAGTTAGTATAATAACAATATATTTTGCCAGGAAATTGATATTGTAGATACAATTAAAGATTAAAATCACAATACAAAATTCGAAAACAGAAATCGTAATATTTCACAAGTCATTACGATTACACTAAACTTGTCACAAACGAACAACGAACAAGATTATTTTCTAATACGGCTGGCTAAATAGATTCCGAATAATCCATTGTCATGAAAAACACTGTGACGCGACGATTTGTTCACCAAGCAGAAAGGTATTGTACATTTGACAATTCACAGATCTGCGAAAATTTCAAAAAGTATACAATTTGCAGAATAAAATTAAAAATATTTCATTCCAATAACAGTACAAAACAAGAAGTTTGTCACTGGAACGGCAATTACAGTTGCAATAGGAGAAAATTGGAGGATAGGTCGCTTAGTATCTGAAATATTAGTTAAACCGGATATTAATTAGCATTTGTTATAAAAAATAATGTATACTGAATGACGTAATTTGTATTTGAAGAGCCTAGAATTCCACGCCTGTTATATCTGTTGCAAATTCTTGTTGATGAATCGACGCTACTCACACCTACCTATGCATGTCTTATCATCCTTCCGAACAATTAAAACTAGATAACTAATCAAGATAAGTAGTAATAGATAAGTGTTTTCCTCTTTAATAATAATAAGCAATGAGAATTTTGGCCAACATACGTTATTATTAGTTAGATAAACAAATACTATTATGCATGGTAATGTGGGTAATAGATTTCTAAACACATTTGAAGTGTTAACATTTGCTATTTTAAGAAATGTGGGTAAATTGTTATTTCGTTTTGTTAAAAACGATAAACGAAAATTCAACTCTCTTGCTTCACTCGTAATTCATAATTACATATGTTCAATACAGTTTACACTACGATGGCCGAGTTTTTACTTATATAAGACCAAACGTAAACAACACTTTAATTTAATGTCTTATTGTCTAGAGTTCTTGAAAAGTATAAACTTCAGTCCACCAGCCAATTTAACAGCATTATATATTTGCATAACTGACGTCTAATGTATGTATGTATGTATAACAACATTAAACCACCCATTCCTTCCTTCCACACTCTTTCTCTCTGTCCTCCCGTCCTCCTAACAGTTCATTTAACTCTAACCCTAATATATGCAACTAACTAATCAATAATTAGTAATTAAATGAGATAAACAAAATTTCGAGTCCTAAATAGAACCTGTAAACCCTGCCTGAATATAGAAACTCAGCTCTGGAAAATGAATTTGACTCGACTAATAATTTGTAATTCGGTCCTCCTTTCCCTACGACACCTCACAACCTACTAATTCCCTTTGATACGTCTCACTCTGCATATATAATCCTTCTCTCCATCCATCCACGAAATAAATTGATGTGAAAACACCACCCAGAGGATTGTTTTTCCAAGAAATCACTAAAAGTTCAAAGTTTACAGTACCTTCATTGGGATATCAACAGCAAAGGAAACTGCGAACTTTGCTCGCAAATTGCTTGAAACTTGCACTTCACTCGCTCAGCAGGACAAAACAAATTAGAGAAAAGCACCCAATTTGCGAATGTAAAAGGCTATTAGATTTTGTACAAATAATAATTTAATAGTTTTTCTCGAAACTCTGTTGGAAGCTGAGTGAGCGAGCGAGTAGTATTTCTTTCGTTGAGTGGGCTCTCTCCTTCTCTCTCTATCTGTTTACCCCTGTCGTCGCGACGGTTTCTGGTGGTGGTGGTTTGGTTTCCCAGTTTTTGCTCTTATGAGAGAAGAATCTGCAGCAGAAGAAAAGAGGCGAAAATGTTGACTGGCTGATCTCTCGCTTTCTTTCTGCTGAGGAGAAAAGAGAAAGGAGGCATTTAGCTGGGTGGGCTTTATTCCATTCTAAACTTTGAGTGAGTAATATGCCTGACTTGAAACTTCTCTCTCTCTCTTGCTCCCATATTATTACACTCTTGGTTGATTAATATGCCCTGGCATGAGAGAAAGGCAAAGAGAGAGAGAGAGAGTTTGAAGCAGTGGTTCAATTTCTGCGAAATGTTGATGATTATCCTTCTTGTTCTTGTGTCCCCGAGGTTTTGGCAAACATTTAAATCGAAATGGAAAAGCTGTTGGCAAAACTTTCTTCTTTGTGAAGCCATCTACAATATTGCTTTCGCCATGTTTTACTTGTGGTGTAGAGCGTCGGGGGAAGGTGACATGAAATTCAGAAAACTTGATCAAATTATATGGTTTCCTCGTCATGTATTTAGTGAAATCGTTGGCGTCATTATTCTGATGACCGTGAAATACTGGCGCATGCAGATTCAGGGTCATTTGGGGAGAAAATAGAAAAATAAAACTGATGAACGACGCGTGCATGAGGGCGACAGCGTCATGACGATGGCTGGCTGGCTGGCTTGTCTTTCTTCTTGGAACTAAATTTTAAAGATTTGCACTCTTTTTAACTCTCCGAATTGTACTTGGAATAGTTCTTGTACCATTAAGTCATCAAGCATAATGGTGTAGTACATGGTATTTACTCGTTTAGTGGGGAGGAATGGCTTCCTAGAACAGAGAGAAAGACACTGCAACTGCATGAATTTGAGCACACATATTATTGTCAGAAGACGAAGAGAAAGCAGAGTTCTATTCACACTTTCACCAACAACCATCCCAACATAATGTACGTGTGTATATATAGAATGGATGGCCGCACACAGCCCGAGGTATGCCGTCTTTTAAATGTTAAAGGAGGATGCGACGTCGCTGTCCTTGCCTTTTGCTACCCAGGCAGAAGAGGAGAGAAAATAAGACCATCATCAAGAACGACTATTATCATCACCCAGGGTATAGTTTAGTTAGGTCATACATTTCACTTCACTCCTCGCCATATCGCCACCATCATCACCTTGCTCATTCTCTAGCTTAAAGATATTGACTTTGAATGAGGATTTGTCGATTCGGGAGAAGTAGAAATTAATTACATGACTTTTTCTCTCTCTTCTTGAAGCACTCCGACACTAACTTTGACCTTCTGCTGCAGCTTTCAGCCCTGCCTGAGACGTAGTAGTAAATATGAAACCGTCGTAATCTTTCTATTTATGAAATGTAATTGAATTTTTCCAATAATGATATAATGAAACCCTTCAACAACATAATTTATTTCTTACTTATTCCCTTTTCAATAAGATGTTATTTTTCATGCATGCACGTGTACGCCTTGTGACTTTCTTTTCCATAATATATAACTCGAATCCAAGTCATTTTTGATTCCTTCTTGTGCAGGATTAGTTGTTTAACGTGGAAACTGCTATTCAACGAACGTGAGGAGTCCTGGAAATTAAATGTGAGAGGAGGAAGAAAGGAGAAAGTTGAAGGTCGGATGAGGAGAAAGTTAGAGAGAGAGAAGCCCTTCGTGCAGAGATCACATTATGCGAATCCCTTGTGTGCCCCAACTTGCATCGCGGGCATGTTGAGAAATCAAGTAAAGTTGCTATTATTTTCTGACAGTCAATTAACGTTTGAGAAGAGGTAACTTGTACAGCAAATTAGAAAATAAAGTTATCCTTTTAGTTTATCCTTTTTGCATACCAAACCGGGGGCCAGTCCTTTCAGGTAAGGTGCATGTGGCGGTTTATTACTAAGACTAGAATTAATAATTACTTCTTTACTTGGTTAGTTTTACTTCTGTCGAATGAAACATGCAGATTTTGTAGACTAAATACGAGAGAGTAAAAAAGAAATTTATACAACTTCAACAGTTATTCAATACAAGCACTTGTTTATTTATTATAGATCAATCAATGGAATTTCATATTTGGCATAGCTTGGTCTATATTAGTCTATAATGGGTGGCCCCTTTGATCTGACCTTTCTTGCGGGAGGATGAATATTTTACAAATTTATTTTTATGCCGAGATTTTTCTACTTGATGGTGCTATCCACTAATGTCAACAAGGAGCTCTACTATTGAATCGTCCCTGTCGATGACAACTCTATATGAATCTTGAAATGTGAGAAAATGGAGACTCCAGTGTGTTCGCCTGTGCCAAATGTGGCGATGAATCAGACACCTCTACCTTCCGCAGCAGTGGGTTTCATTCTTTTGAATAATGGTTCCCTATTTTCCTTCGGATTACTACCTCCGTCTGTGGAAGCTAGAGCTGCTCCAGGTAAGATACATATACTATTTATTTGATGTGGATGGGATGATGGGGATGTGCTTAGTTGGAGAATTATATGCGGTTATAAAATATCATTTTGTACATGGTATTTACTTAGGTCCTGATGAATGGAATGAGATTAAAATATGTCCTCCGTTTACTGTACTTGCGCTTCCACCTACCAAACTGGCCATATGCCCTGCAGATTTTTGCAATGATAAAGTAAAGTCTTATGAATCCCATGCGAGAAAGCATCTGAGTCTGATACTGGCAGAGCAACGCAAGACGACAAGACTGAATGGAAACTGTGATTTCCCGTCATCCCTAAAATTTGGATACTACTGTAATGATGGCGATTGCTATGCTGGGCTTCTCATGTTGGACCAAAGTCGTGGGTTTAATCGAATGAAGTACCTGAAACAAGTGAGACATTAGTTGAGAATACTTCAAATGCACTATGAGAATTTAGGACACTTATTGGGTATATGTTTATTTAATTTTTTACAGCATTATTTGAAAGTTCACGCTCCTAGAACTTTTGCATGCTCCAATTGTAGTAAATGCTTCGCGTCACTGGGACTTTTGGGGGGTCACATAAAGAATTGCGGAAATTCATTCGAATGCTCTACATGTCAAAAGCAATATAATACATTGGAAGCCCTACAAACTCATTGTCGACGACACAATCATTCCACGGATTATAGCAAATATAAAGATTTTATAGAGTAAGTTAATTTATTTAAAAGGAAAAAGTTGCGTGTGGTAGTGATATATAGGATTTTGTGTAATTATTATAATAAATGAATTGTTTTGTCCAACAGAAATGCAAAAAATGAAATTTCTTCTATTCGAAAAGCGGAGAAAGATCTTAAACAGAAAGGTAAACCAGAACCGTTACCTGTTCAAGTGATTGTTCCTCGTCCGAAAACTATTACCTGTGGACCGGGTGGTACTCCTAGTCACGTTGTCTGGACCTATGACTGCGGAATAGACGCTCCCATGGTGAAGTCTGAAACTTGCACACAAACGGAAACTGAGATTAAACCACTAGATTTATTTTCGTCATCTAAACCAAATAACCCAACTAGTCGAGTAATTAGACGAAAGAGATCAGCGGAAACGCAAACGGGTAAAATGAAGCTCAAAGTATCCACAGAAGCTCAGACGCTTAATGTAACAAAAAGAAGAAGGACTTCCAAAAAACAAATTGCAGTTGAAGCAGAAACTCAATGTTCATCTGCTCCTGCTATCAATTCACGCAGCGATTCTGACGAAATCAGTACACCAGATAATATTTTCCTGGATGCCGGAGTAATATTTCTTCCTCCTTCTGAAACTCCAGATTCTCCTGATGAACTGTATCATAGCTCGAATAGTGGAGGAGGAATTTCTCTGCCAGCGTTAATGGCAATGGTTGGAATTGTTGGAGATTCTATTGAAATAGTTCCTGACCATGAACAAGAATTAATGGACATTACAACAAATAGTGGCATTATTCCCGTTGCATCTGCACCGTCAGCCGTTGTTAATGTGCTAGACCAACAATTTGAAGTTGGAGTGAACGGCTACACAACTTCACCCCCCACATCCGAAGTTTGCGTCGGATTCGACGAAGCTTTTGATCTTGAAGACTACTTGCGTTTTGAGCTCACTCGCGAAACTCAAACAGATTCGTCACTCCTAGGATTGAATATTCCAGAGCCTGACTTGACGAGTCTTATCAACAGTTTTGTAGCAGTTTCTGCAGCTGAGACCCAAACCTCATTTTTCGGCACAGAGTCAGAGGACAACCCTGCATCAAGAAATTTGAATATTCTATCAACAAGCTATCCTGAACGTTACGCCCCAGGCAACATTTACGATGAAAACTATTCTCGTCGCTTTGAAGATTCTTTCGTAAAGCTTACGCAAGACCTGAACTCACATAATAGTCCCACCTATTTGGAAACTATTGATGGTGAAACTCAAACCAGCTTTCCTGCGAATGGTGAGCTTTTTCAAAACATGGACAACATGTTTCTTTCCCTGTTCAACGACTCGACAAGTTTAATTACAGATGAAGAAGCTGCATCACGTGGATCACACCTGCGATTTTAAATTCCTCAAGAGAACACATTTTAATACTTGTGTTACTCACTCCTGCATTTTCAAGTATTATTAATATTACTCCCCCAGCCATTTAATTGCATTCAATTAATTAAGCTATTTAATTCAGATATGCAATATATAAACCAACAAGTAGATAGCTAAATAGACATTAGTCAGTGAAAGCAAACCACCGAACTCATGAAACCGTAGGTACAATCTCCGCTCTAGTTGATGGAACATTATATACTCTCTCATTGTTGTGAATAGATCGCATTTATAATTAATAGTAAATAGCTGGAAATGATAATATCCATTCAAATTCAGGCAAAAAGTCTGTCAGGAGGCCTGCTTAATATGTATTTTCTCTTTATCTGCATGGGGGAAATAGAGTTAACAATGAGTAGATACAGTAACCCCAAGATATTATTTTCCCACATTCAGTATTTGTTTTCTGTAGTTGTTGTATTATTTTTTTTACATATTATATGTAAAATGTAATAATCTTATTTGTCACCCTTTGTTCTTTACCATGTTGATCCAACCAATACACCAGTAAGTATTATTACGATTTAGTTACCTATTTATTAATTTATATTGCTGTTCTCATTCTACTAGTAAAGTGGCATTTATTTAAATATATTTATTACTTTTAACCAATATGATATTTCGATGCAAGGTTTCTTTGTACTGCTAAACCACATACATATATATTATGCAAATGCTTTTACCAGTTATTTATCATTACTCTCTATAATCAATTTAAATTTTCTCCTAAAATCCAACATTTCGTGTAGGAAACGTTGGATTTTCAAAATTTTAGTTATAATCAGAGAAATTAAAGAAGTACCAAAAATGTAAAGTTATGTTGAAAGAAATATGAGAAAAAACGTGTTGAATCCTGGCATAAAAAAATAAATGGTGAATGATTTTCATGACGTTTTGTCAAGCTCTGTACGTTTTCTCATACATCTGGTGCCTAAGTGCCTAGGTGCCCTTTTAGTTCCTCCTGTGGTTTTTTGCAACAATGATGTTCCTTCCATAAGGAGAGAAGTCTCTCGTAGTCAGTGTTTCTGCTGTTAAAAAACACCTGCACAAAATTAGTGCATAAAAATGTTTTTATGCGTTTAATAACACCCACCAAAAATCCGGAAAAGTGCACAAAATGCACAAAAATGCACAAAAATAATTTAGCTGATTACCATGCAGCAACGCTGAATATTTAAGATAATGGACGAATGCTAAGCTATTTTACGATGTTTTTCAACAATATTAGCACTGTAAAACAATTTTCTAATATTTGGAATTTAAAAATACTTTTCGTAATTTCCGACTTGATAAAATTTTGATTGTTAGAAAATGACAATGCTCAATTATTGTTGAGCGTATATAAAAGTGAAATGTGAAATTAGCGGCATTCTGCCTCGATATTTATTTTTATGCATTTTTGTGCATTTTTGTGCATTTTATGCATTTTTGTGCATTTTATGCATTTTTGTGCATTTTATGCACTATGCATGCACAAAAATAATTTTGTGCGCACAAAAAGAAACACTGCTCGTAGTTTTCTGGAACCCGTTTTATTAGCGGGAAGGCTCCCACCTCTTCTTTCTCTCCTCAGCTTTTTTTTTGGAGCCACAAGTTTTGAGCGATAGACGAGGCAAGCAGGGAAGCACTCGCACTCACTTACATATTTTATTTATCAAGAAGCGGCCGGAATGTGTATCTCAATTCTTTCTCCCACAAAAAGAAAACTGATTTTGGTTCCCGTTGCCGTGAGACCGATGATGATGATGAGAATATTGTAAGAGAAGCAGAAAAGTAATCAGTAGTAGTCGAGAAGCGTTTCAGTTCCCTCCGCTTCTTCCCACCACGAGTCAACTCATCTTCTCTTCTTCAGTTCATCATCCGCTCGTGGTCCTCCATCGAGTAGTCAGTCAGGGAAAGTGTCAAAGTTTCCTTGTTGGTGGTAACTTATCGTCGACTGGGGTCGGGTGGGGGAGGAGTAGTCGTCGCCGTCGTCATCGTCGTCATCTGTCCTCGTTTCGAGAAGAAGACCGGGTAGGATTCGTTTTGGGGTCATTCCGAACTAGCAACCTGGTCGCTAAAGTACAATGAACTTGAAGTAGCAAGCAGCAGGCAGAGAGCAAGGGTAGGCAATAGGCTAGGAAAAGTATTGTCTGGGCGGAGGTGGATGAGGAGGTCAGAGGCGCTCAATTCCTGATATAAACAAGACTGAAACGGAGAAAGAAGGAGGTCATCATGGTGAAGAAAAAGCCTACAGCCACAGCCTTGAAATTAAACGGCACGACAAGTGTCATGAAGAAGGACCTGATAAAGTTTGTAAGTTGTTTTTTAATAGTTACTGAAGGTGCAATGATGTTTATGAAAGTTAGAGTTGATTTGACTTTTGTTTGGTGGAACCTCATGCTAATTATTATGTTGTTTTTGCAGCTAAAAAGTCATCCTAAACTGGCTAATTGTAAATTAGAAGATCTAGGAAACAGCAATGGGATTGGAAGACTGATTTGGGCTCGGAATCCGGGGTCAGTTTATTGGCCGGCTCTTATCGCCAGTTTTGAGGATAAACCAGGTAGGTGTAGTAGTGAATAGTTTGATTAATTGTGTACATTGTGTATCATATGGTGTTAAAAAAAATTGTAATTGTGATAGGTGACGTACCAGCAGGAACGATATCAGGTTCAATGATGCCGGATGATTATAGATCCGTCGTGTTTCTTGAGACGGCCTTTAGAATTGCAGTCCTCCAATGGAAAGACATTATCCTGGTGGATGAAAATAATTTTGATGAACAAGTGGAGCTTATTTACCAGCTAAATATCAATATAATCAAAAGGACTTGGCGAAGGGAGAAGCCTTACAAAGATGCTGTACAATTATTGAAGGAATTTATATCGCTGGATATAACCCTCAGACAGGCGCACGCTTTTCAATTAAGTTTGGAACATAAACATAGAATAGCACTCTTGAAGCCGCGGAAATCTGAATCTAAGGTCAAAGTTGAAGATGTCGAAACTGAAAACAATCTTCAAAAGGTATTATAATTAATTACAGTGGTTAATGCCTCCTTTGTAGCATGACTGATGACATGTACAAAAATATAGGATGATTTACAAAATTTATTTGTTATTATTATCACAGGTCAAGAAAAGACACTCGGATGCGTATGGCTTAAGACCTTCCATTCCACCTACTGTTATTACCCTAGATGACACTGATTCAGTTATAAATGGGTCCAGCAGTCATACAGACAATAGAGGTGCTAGGAATATTGACACACCATCTCCTTCTGTATCCTCCGTTTCTGAAACTTTATCGGACGTTAGTCGCAAACACAAACAGCGACCGAAAGGTAAGCTTACATTAGTTGTTGACACGTTACATACGTATCAGACATCAGACATTTTGAAAAATCAACCTTTAATATTTTTATTGTTACAGTGGGAGGTGAGTGGGACCTGGGCTATAGTGAAACCCCGCTATCATTGGCATAAAGTCAATTTATTTGGTAAATTTAAATTTAATGTTAATTAAACATTCCATCTTGCAGGTTTCCCCATGAAAGAGTATGTAGAAAAGCGATTTATGAGTATGGATAAAAGTTTAAAGTTTGTAAATAACGTTGGATGGAAATGTGCCGAGTGCCTTGATTCGATCATCCCTGGTGAACAGGTGTATTGTCATGACTTGCCTCATCATTCAGAGTGCCTTATCTCTGTGTTTAAGAATTCAAAAGGTTAGTTGTTATTTATTTGCGTCTTGTTTAATACTTTGTAATTGGTGAAATATGTATATTACTAAGGAACGCTGAATAAATATATAAATGTCTTTCTAATCGTTATTTGTTTCATAGATGGATCCACTATGGAACAACTCAAGTGCAAGTGCTGTGCAGAACAGGCTTGCTATATATGTAAGATGACTTCTATCGAAGATGAGAAATCCGCGAGCAAGTGTTCTAAATGTGAATTGAGGTATCATCGGCGATGTTTGTTGGGCTGGCCTCAATCCATTGTTCAAGGATCTTATGGTCCAATCACATGCCCCATCCATTTTTGCCACACTTGCGTCGGTGAACATTACGTTCTTCGGAAGGTTCGAAATATCAAAGCTTTCTCCAAGGACAGCCGATTTCGATGCCTTCAGTGTCCTACAACATATCACAAACGTGAGATATTTATTTATCTATTATTTAAATTTTAAACCGTGTGTACATCTTTTCATTCTAGTTAGTTGAAGAAATTGCCATGCATAATTACTGTAGTCATATTTTTTCAGCACATTGCCTTCCTGCTGGGTGTGGAGAAGAGTTGTCTGGGAGGGACTTTGTAATATGCCCTAAACATGTTCTACCAACTCTGAAAATACTTCAACGACGTTTTGGGTGTCTAACTTGTGGTAAAAGTAAGTCAAGTCAGTTTATTTTATAATCAATTAAAGTTAGCCACTTCATCAATTAACTGACCAATATTAAATCTAATCATTAGACTTGAAGGCAACTGATGAAAATCGAGTTGATTGTCACCTCTGTCTTCAAGTATTTCATCCAGAATGTGTTGGATATAGCGAGGAACACATTAAAAATGGGATATCGCTCAAGACGTTTGGACGAGATTACAAATGTAGCTCTTGTTTTTGGGGACTTTTCCCACTATACGGCCAACCGGTGTGGTTTCAGCAACCTGGGAACAAGTCAGTTTACATTTTTATGCTTAAAATAGACTTAAAATTTATCAACCACTTTAATTTAGTAATTTATGAAATTGCGTCTTTCAGATTTTGGCCTGCTCGAACTTTATTTCCTCGGGAATCGTCCGGTCGCTATGATTTTTGCAAAGGTCGAGAGTTAGGACTTCACTCTATAAAATATTTTGGCTCAGACCAGTCTTATTACGACAAAGCAAGTCGAACGTCCCCGTTATCACTCGCCACTGTCAAGCTGTTCACAGTAAGAAATTACTGCTAAATTTCTGATTTGCTAAAATTACTTTGGTCATTAATTTTATTATTAATTACTATTACCTTGCTTTGTAGACGGTTAAAGTATATGAAGAACAAAATCTAAAGGTGAAATCAGCGTTTGATGAAGCCGGATTTTATGCAACTCTACTGGACGAAATGAGGGATAAATTGTTACCTGAGGTGAGTTAAACTAAACGCTAGCAGGATGAAAATTATTAGGATGTATAAATATTAACTAGTTTTGATATTTGTTTCTAGCCCGAGCCTATCTACAAGCGGATAGATCGAAATATCTATCGCAATTCTGTAAACACAACAAAGAAGAATCACGATAACATGTCTTGCTACTGTGGAGACGCTAAGAATGAAAGTCCAGTATGTACTCCCAATTCTGGCTGTCATAATAGGTTTGTAATAGTTTTTTTTGCATACTAATATACCTTAGAATTAGTTAAAATGGAAACGTTGCTGACTAATACAACAATAATATATTGATTTGTTCATGTATTTAATTTTTCAGAGACACAGCAATTGAATGCAATGACGACAACTGCTCCGGGGGAGACCGGTGTGAAAACAGAATGTTTACTCAAAACAAAAAAGACTACTCGGAAAACACACAACAGTTTTTGACTCCTGGGAAAGGATGGGCTGTGAAGGCTTTGAAGGACTTTAAAGAAGGGGACTTTGTCATTGAATACTGCGGAGAAATTATTAACAATGCGGAAATGCAGTATCGAGCAAATCGAAAGACAGAAGAAGACCCTCTCTATATTCTTGAAATTGATAAGCATACCTTCATCGACGCAGAATTCTGTGGCAATATATCTCGTTTGATTAATCACTCTTGTAAGTTTGTTAAAAATGTTTGGGTGACGGAAATTTTTGACCTTACACTTTTGAACTACTTTATTTCTATATCCAGGCAAGGGGTTACCTATTGCCTATATTTATAATTGTGTATGTATTTTTACAGGTGAGCCGAACTGTCAAATTGAAAAGTACACATCTGAAGGGAAACCAGTCGTGGGGGTGTTTGCTCGCACTAGTATAGCCAAATATGAAGAACTAACCTTTGATTATGCATATGGAAACAACAGCTCTGCTCCATTTCGTTGTCATTGTGGAACATTGAGTTGTCGAGGATATATTGGAAAACAAGTAGCTCTTTCAGAATTAGAAGTTGTGGACATTATCAACCCAGAACTAGAACGATATGATAAAGAGTGCGCTAAATGCTTCTTTGGTGGTCATGTTCTATGCTGCGATTACGAAGACTGCTACAAAGTTTACCACAAGTCGTGTGCCGGGCTAAACAAAGAGCCTAACGATGAGTGGTTTTGCCCTGATCACGATGTCCGTCCGGCTAAAGCAAAAAATAAGAAACGCAAGGCGACAAGTAGAATCGCCGGTGGTCCTCCCACCAAAAAAATTCTTTTACACACGTCTTCCGATGTAAATCAAAATGGAAGAGTACAGAGTAAAGTTGTCCCCATTTTCCAAAAACAACGAACAACACCAACAACGCGGAAGTGAAGTGACTGCTCTAATCGCGTCCCCTTCATATACATACTCTACACATCACGTCCCATCCAATCGAATAAATTATTGGTGATAGCTTTTTCGTCTTACTATTTATATTAAAAATAGATGTACTGCCAACTAATTATCTTTAGTCTACTAATGATCTGGTAACTTTATAGAATTACAATTCTTACCATGTATATAATTATACTATATAATTATAATATCCATTGTGTTGGTGTATCTGTCGTGAGTCTCACTCACACCTTGTTTAATTACCTCATTAATGTTGGTTATTTTTAGTATTTATTTATTGTATTTTATACATGTAGACAAGGTTAGAATATCGGTGATGGGTGTTTCGTATATTATTTCGTATGTGTGTTGTTTTAATCGCTATTTTTATATTTAAATGTTGCCAACGATTACCTACATATGTATATGTATTCGTTGTGTGTATTATCCTTTGCAGACATACTACAAAAATCCCGAAGTTTTACCGTGTCAATTAAATCTGCTCTGATTATTGCTGTTCTATTCACTTAAGCGTATCAGAAATAAAATTCCAAGTTTTATAAGTCATTTTAAAACCATTTTGGTTGTTTACTTATACGTTGTCACTTTTTTTACTGGATCGGAATATTAAACAAAACATACATTTCTGAATAATATTTAGGAATATAATATAATATATAGAGTTGATGGTGTTTCAGAAACAATGAACAACTCTCATTACATAAACTCCATCTCCCTACTTAGTAACTTTGTAAAGAGAAAATGACCGTGAGGCCGACTCGGAAGCATAATGGTTGAATATATAATTCTACGTTTGCAATATACTTAGTAAGTTTGTTCACAAATTCCGTACTTGTGGAGTACACCACGCCTCATAATTTCGTAAAAATAATACTTTCCTACTCCTAACAAGGTATATAGCATTATTGTTGAATAATTGTGTATCGTCGGGTTCTTGTACATATATAATGCAAATATTTACACGTATATATTTCTGGGCTAGGATTATACATGGCATAAAAATGGGTGAGGTTCCAGCTCTCTCTATCTCGATATATATATTTATACATAGTAATTATAATATCCTTTTTAATCGCTTTCGTATATAACATAAAATAATAATGGCCTCTTCATTCTGATAAATAACAAACATTTGACATCTCTCTGTAAAGTCTTTCACATGTATTCTTCTATAATTGAGCGACATATATATATATACGTATTTATCTACCTACCTATCAAGTATTAAAAGGAAAGAACGTGAGGAAATAATATAATATTTTATAGAATAGTATTTTTGAGGGAGTTAGACAAAGCTGTATGTGTTTTCTACAGCTCTGCTGGTACCACCGGACGCTTGTTCACGTTGAAGTCGTTCCATTGACTCGGTCCTTGTTCGCACAGATCCATTGTGAGTCGTCACTTGCTGTCGTTAATACAAGGATATTCAAGTAAATAATTGCTAGCAAAAAAAAAATGAATCCTGTAAGACAATTGCTTTAATGTGAGACGTACCATCTGCATGTCGGGCAACATTGGAGGCCGAGAACGGTCTCCACCCGGCTGTTGCAATTGAGTCAATCCCCTTAAGGATGGTAAAGCCACAACGAATTCTGTTAACGTGACATCAGACGTACCCCCTGACTCCAGAGGAATTGGTTGGATTCGAAAATGCTCAAGCATATCGAACACTGACTGGAACCACAAATGTTGTACTCTACATTGCCCTTCGGGACTCAGGGTCATTCGCAAGTGCTAAACAATAACCACAGTAAAATCATGTTATACCTATTTATATCATATAAATCTAAAGCTAGATGACTGGAGCGGAACTTAATAGTTTGAGTTGTGAGGCATACCTTTGCTTTTCCTTGAAAATTAAACGTTAGAACAAACTCTCCAAGTCTGGTTTCACTTTGCCGAACCAAAAAAGTCCCATGACCATCAGCGTCTTCTTGTAACACAAGCCGTGCTGCCTCAGACCTGGATAGCGTGCCGTGAAACCAAGGATATTCTTGAAGTGTGGAGTAAATATCTCGAGCGGGGGCTTGATCATTTTCAGTGATTCCATTCGTTATGCCGCTTGCACCTCCTGCTGCTGCCACTCGGGGTTCGGAACTTGCACCATTTAAGCCTAAGTGGTAAATAATAAAAGTTTGGATTAATGACAACGTTACAATTTGAAGAGTATTAATTGTTCTTACTATTTGTGCTGGATGAGCGAACAGGATTGTCACGAGATTGCTGAAGTAGTCGTGGTGGAAGTGTAGGAGCATTGGGGGTTCCTCCTGAAGAAGAGCTCGCATTGAGTGGATTGGCTCCGACTTCCTCCCCCTCCCCCACGTGAGATCCCCCAGACTGGGAAATAGTTTGACTCTGACTCCCATGTCTTTCCGCATCCAAGTGTGCTTTCATCGAGTACTTGATGGTGGTTAACCAAGACTTCATATCTTCAGTGTCAGTTGCTGGAATCAGTAAATAAATTTAGTTTGAATAATCATTGGGGTCTATTCATATTTGTTTTTGAATTATAAATACGTCGAGGACTTACCCTCAATCACATATTCCATATTGTTTTCAGCCTTCAAAACAAAAGTGTTTTCTCGGTCTGGCATTTCTAGTGCTAGAAATTATATACAATTAAAGTATTACATATGCAATTAAAAATTAAAATGGGGGAATTGATTCTTGTTCACCACTACTCATAGACAATGCGAATTATGAATAATCTACGAATAATCTACTCATAGACATTATGATGACGGGAAGAGAGATTATAGTCGAGAAGCGTCAGCTCAGCACTATTTCTACTGAAGTTAAGTTCATGGTGCCAATCTACAAGACAGTGATGGTTGGGAAGAAGGAGCGTCAAGTTTTAGATTTTGATCAGATGAAAAAAATGGGTATTCAAAAGAAGGTCTGCGAGAAAGTTGTTATTAATTGGATTTAGCATATTTGTTGTACAAACTGTTTGACGTTGGGGATTGCAGTCTTTTGAAAGTAACGAATAAAATTTTGTTTATTTACCTGTAGTCTCACGAGCTTCCGTTATCAGGAAGCAAAACACCCCCGATCTTGGTTTGACTGACTGGAAAGCATAGATGAGAATCAATATAAAACATTTTCCCTTACAAATGAACATATACTAATTTGATGGTGTTACCACCTTTGGAGGAGAGTAAAATTCCAACTGAAATTCAAATTACAAAATTAGTTATTTGTTAGTGAACTTATTGTCAATCTCGGCATAATAGTTTTTCAATGTAAATGTCAATAGAAGGACAATTTACGATAAAAGAATAAATGGAAAATCAAATTCCAACTTACCATGTACCCCCCAACAGTTTTGACTAAACAAAGACGACATTTTTCCCACTTTTGAGTTCCATCCAGATTTTCTCCACTTAAGTAATGAACCGTCCCTTCTTTCATGGATTCAACAACTATTTTGGCTAATTTGGCTTTCGAGTGTTTATCCTGCTTAGACCTTAGATCCCCTGTGCTGAGCTGAACTTCGTCTGACATTTGTTTGTGAAAGAACCGACCTTTACGAAAACCTTTGAAGGACAACCTAGGGAAATGAAAATGAAATAAATAACATCCTCTTGTATAATAAAACATAAATAAATGATTAAGAATAAATTATTTATTTTATTTGTTCCCACACCTTCTGTAAAACGGTTTTCTAGGAGCTTGCGACGTCGTGGGAATGGAAGGCTCGGCATCAGACAAAATATCTTCCCCTTCACGGTTTTGAGACTGTTCACTGTTTGTTGAGAGGGACTTCTGATGACTATGACTGGTTTCACCATTTGTGGCAGTATTATTGTTGTGATGGCCATTTCGCTGACAATGTCCCTTCAGTACAGGTAGAGAATAAGTGTCATTAGCACCCCCTTGCAAAATTTCAGACTCCAAATGATGTGTAAATACTTCAACGAAGCGTCGTATGAGATCATTCGCTTGATTTTGCGACTGTGAGACTCCTCCGTTCGTGGATGGATTTGTTGTTGGATCTATAATTGCAGAAGAAGGAGACGCCGAATCTGTGGGCGAGGTAGACACCATTTCAGGGTAGTGGGTCATTAAAAGTGTGGCCACGTCGACAGCCGTAGCCTTTGCCGTCTCGTCACACCAACCAATCCATTCCGACTCCATGGCCATTCCTTGTACTGTGTTGTAATGAATTTTTGTCGTCACTAGTGTCACCCTACTAGTGGTTTAGTAGTGTAAATTTCATGACTATCTATTCACCAGGATTTGAGAACTATTTGAAATTTGGCACGATTAAACAGAAATGTTTACGACTTTTTCCACCATGTTACTACGTGAATGCATTATTCCAACCTCAAAATTTATTAATCTGTAAAAGCAAAAAAATATAATTAATTTCAATTCTAGCTAAACCAACTAACAATTTCATTTCTCGTACAAAGTGTCCTTATTTATATATACGCACTTGTTCATAAACCATTGAAGGGTTCCAATTTCCTTATCGTATCCAATCCAGTATAAGCTTGGTAGAAATTTGCTCCATGTTTACCAGCTGAATCTCGTCATCTGCGAATTAAATCAGAGTTTAATATTTTGTATTGACTAAAATCAGTTTCAACATGTATATGTCAATATACGAATCATCAAGCACCCAAAGTAGCCCAATCTTACTATTTCTAAAATGATCTAGATATTTCATACCAAGAACTCTTATGTTTACACATTCTTTAATAAAACTTAAACAAACACGACGGTGTGGACGTTGATTGACTACTGCTTTCGCAAAATCCTCGTAAAAATAAACCAACTTGCACCATCACTCATACAAAACAAATAATGCATTAATTTTATATCGACTAACGAAATATTTCTAAATTCTATCCATCCAAGTCCCTTATTTCTTACTAAACTCCTTCAACCTCAACGAAATTCAGTCCAGAAATTAATTCCCATATATTTTATTCAACTCTCCAGTTTTTAGACAATTTATATACTTTATATCCTTTATATGGCTTGAAAACAAGAACATTTACTTCTCCTATTGTACACAAGGAATGCTTACCGATTTTGTTATCTGGTCTGATTCCGAGCTTTATCGGAGAAGAAGAACTAATAAGAACCCATCCGGATTAAGATAAGGTTTTTTGACGATGTTCTGCTGCATCATTACAAAAAAGTGTGGATTTGACGGTGTTGTTTGCTACAAAGCATGTCGTCGTTATGATTCTCGTATTCCGTCCGACCCAGCATCCATCCATCCATCCCATCAGCCAGCCAGCTTTCTTCCTCTCCTCTCCGTCTTCGTCTTCAATAACATTCATTCCCTTGTCCAGCAGCACTATGTACTTTTATTACATAACTCGTTCCAGAGCAGCAGCAGCAAAGCAACTGTGGAGTAAGTAGTTGACTGAACTCGTTTAGGATCCAATAAAAAAATCAGTGCTTCTTCTTCGTCTTGTTTTACGTAACTGGATCATCATAATAACATCGTAGAAGAAGCTGATGGATCGATGGATGCACGGTGTCTGTCTGTATTTCTGTAGGTCGAAGAACGCGCCCAGTCTTCCACGTTTTTTATGACTTGGATGGACGGACTTACATGAACAATTACATGAGTTATGGAATATGATATGCATAAAGTGATTAACTTGGAGTTGTAATTGATGAAAGAATAAAAGACGATGAGATGAGACTATGTATTTATGTATACATAGTAGAATTGCGAAAATGAAGGTGATGATGATGAAGGTGAGGCAGGATGAGATATGCATGCAAAAGAAGTAATCTCAAATTCCCACGCCATGGTTGAGATTCAATTGAAAAACTTTTAAAAACAATTGTTTATGAAATCGTGTTTGCGTTTTATTTCATTACCTGAAAATTTTTTCATACTTTCTTTTTTCCATAAACAGTCTGCTTAAAATGCGAGGGAAAGCGAGAGGGACAATTTGGTTTCGAGTTTAAAATAGTGTCAGAAAATATGATTTTTCATATTAAAAGTTTACTACCCATGAAAGGTTTGTCAAAATAGTTGAAATATTTGTGTAAGTCAGATCCCCGATACCGACAAGTTTAAAAAAGCAGCAGCGACTCGTTGCTATAAACGTGGTCAATCAAGGCCTTGAGGAACAACATTTTTTTCTTCCGAATGGAGCAGCTAGCATGAGGCATGATTGCTGAACATGCAAAAAAAGATATTCTTAAGTCACTGATTACTAAAACAATCAAATAATATCATTTACTCAAAAAAACGTACGTTGCTCTAAAATCTTTTCGCTGATTAAATTGTCCAAATTAAGGTTTGTCGCTAACTTCATCGTAAGTTTCACGTACGCTTTTATTCTTGTGTTGTGCGTCATCGGGAGTGACTTAAAGGCTTTCCCGTCAAAAGTATTTGTTATCGACTGGATTGCAAACAAATAAAGTTCATGAATAAGAAAACCTTAATTAGCAAAAATTAAAGTATAGTACAACTATTATAATTATCATACCTTAACAACTTCAAAGTATTCTGAGATGCTGAGATTAGGCAAGCTAAATGAAGCAGGTTGGCGAAATCGATTTCGGACACGAGTATCTAGGAATGTCTGTATATCCTCAATGTCTGAGACAAGCGATAACTCCATGGCAGAAGCTCTAGTTTTCAGCCTTTTTTCGTTGCTGTTTTTTTGGTCCACTTTTCGGTGGCCTGAACTTGACTGCGACTTGTTCCTTTCGATATCAGCAACACTTTCCATGCTCCTATAAACCATGTAATGGGCAAAGTCAAATTTTTGTCAAATGATGTATTCTACTTAATGGATATGAATGCTTACAGGCTTCTGCAATACAGTTTTCGTACCCCCCACTTGTCCATGGGGGATACATAGCTGAATTTCACTTCTCGGAGACGGCGTCTCGTAGGTGTGTGCTTTTTGTCTTCAGCATTAGCACGAGTAACAGGGAGAGTTTGTCCACCTTCGTCTTGCTGAAGATAATCTCCTGTTTGCCGCAGGTCAGAAGTGGATTTGCTCCCAGTTTTTAATATTCCACGCATAGGGCGCATAGGGCAAGGTGAGTAACTAAACTGAGTTGGTTTTACCTAGGAATCAGTCGAGTATAATTAATTGACGAAATGCTACTATTGCGACAATACTCCAAGAATACTTACAAATGCAAAATTCAAAAAACTGATGTTTGACATATCGGAAGAGTTTTATTCGTTGGAATACTGAAAAAATAGGTAAGATGAAATTGGAGAGGTCTTCTTTCTTGGGGAACGATTGAACTGCCACTGACCAATTTCATAAGGTATCAAGTTTTTATATGTTGTATGCACATAATGTATGATGTTTAATTCGAGAAGTAAATGAACCTCAGCTTGAACAGAGTAGAACATATTCCTTGATAAAATGTATTTCATTTCAATAAGTGAACTCGACAAAAATTCAAAAAGGTTGCATTAGCATTGTTCTAGAAATATTCTATAGAATAGTATCACATATCACCTCATTTGAATATACAAAATTAAAATATTAAGCCTACAACTAATGAGATTTATCAATTTCAAACTTTACATATATAAATATTATCAATACCTTAACATATTTACCAACAGAATACCGTCAATAAATGTACATACTTATATAGCTTTGGTAATCGTAAAATATAAATGCACCATCATCTTCAATTACATCATCTGTGTACACGCTAGTGTTAAACATTTGAACCATTTTGTACAGTTATATGGTAAATATTGTCTCAAGAAAGTCTGCATAAGGCACGTCGCGTTCATTAGTTGAGTCATCGATGAATAAATATTAATATTATTGCTATTATTTTCACGTTCTCGTCCACTGGCGCATTCCGACATTTAGTAAGTTTTCACTATCCTCGTCGTCCGAATCATCAGAATCTATTTTGAATTTCTTCTCTGGAAAAATGAATCACATCATAGCGTCCATTTAAATCTCAAGCTACTCACTAAAACCATCTTCCAACAACAACAATGCAATACATAATACAATGCAAGATAGATCAAATATGTACTAACCAATAATTCGACCTTTATTGATGGAGAATAATTGTTCATCCTCATCATCGAATATTAGTTTATTGTTCCCTTGAAAAAAACCAAATCCGTTGACGCGAGTTTGGTTACGTCGACAAGCCACGAAACACATTGAGCCAATGACAAGTACTCCTATCAAAAAACTCGCTGAAAAATAAAACCACATCAATGTGAAATAACAACATTGCTTCCTCGTATTGTTCATAAATTAGCAATTTGTTCAAAGTATTTTTCATTAATTTACCAAGTAAAGTAACAAAAGCAACTCTTGGCAATCCCCAAACGGCATCGTTCTTTTGCAAAGGCAAAAGTACGTTTGTAAATTTCACTGTGGACACTGTCACTGATTTTTCAGTGTTAAAGTATCCCTCTGCATGAACCTATACATGGATCGTAATAATGAATCAAGTTACACAATAGCCGACCGAAGTATCGTAATAATAATATAAGAAGCATAAACCTTACTTCAACATTATAGTCTCCTGGGGGCAATGGCTTCTCAAAGTGTCCCAACAAATCAGAAAATGTGTAAGTGTCATTTCCACCAAAGTAGAGTTTTGCATTTGGAATAGGTTCGTGTAAAGCAGAGGTAACATAACCTAATTCACATTTGCAATGAATTCATTAACATATTTGAATATGAAATACATGGACAACTTATTTCTTTGTGTGATTATGTGATTATTATTTATGTACCATGTATTCCTTGTGTAACAAGAGACTGGAAAAATGACAGCAGACTCAAAGCAAAATCATCACCACGATTTGATCCGTAACAACATTTCACAGGAACAGGAAAAATTAAGGAGTGTGTTCGGTTGTAAAATTCCTATTTCATAGAAATAATGAACTCTATTAGCTATAGATTACCAATGTAACAGTAATGCTGACAACCAACTAAATATGACTGAATTTAAAATCAAGTACCCCATAAGATCGCGAGATTCCAACGTTTTCTTTGGTTTCGCAATTATCGTATGAAATCTCGTTATTCACGGCTTCTATCGCTTCTCGAAGACTCTTGTCCATGAAATTATATATCTAAAAAAAAGAGCAAAACACCACATGAATAGAAAGTATGTAGGTATTTAGCAGGGGTGGGCAAGATACTTTGGTCGTAAGATACAAGATACAAGATAAGATACTCTCTAAGACAAGATATAAGATACAAGATAAAAGATACATTTTGTTTAAGTACACAAGATACAAGATACAAGATACTTTTCTAAAAATTGAGTAGTCAAGATACAAGATATGTATCTTAAGATACTTTTATACTAGATAAGATACTTTCTTTTTTAGCTTGGTATTCATGCCCAATTAGTCATGTTTAATCATTTAACCGAAAAAATCTAGTGAGTACAAAATTTAAAATCATTCTAGAATCATTTTACAAATTTTGTTGCCAGTGCTTATACTTCGAAAAAGGTCTAAATTTCGAAAAACTAGAACTCTACCTAACATACGTATATTCTTAAGAAGCTGGTATTATTTTTACAATATTCCCTGCTTATTCAAACTAAACCCTATAAGATCTATACATTAGTTCAGCGTAGATGTAATGTGCAACGTATGTATCAGTATGTATGTACGAGTACACATGTACATATATATATATATATATATGTGCATATATGTACAAGTTTGTTACGAATTGGCAAAACATAAACTAAAAATTCACCAAATTCTGGTTACGACAAATTCATGGTCAAATTGACTGACTTTAGTAAGAAATTGACGTAATTTGACGGAATTTTGAGAAAAAGTATCTTGTATCTTGTCAAAAGTATCTTAAGATACTTTTCTGCCAGGCATATCTAGATAAGATACTTACACAAGATACTTTCGACTTTCTAAAAGATAGAAGATACAAGATACAAGATACTTCTCTGATCAGGCGACGAAGATACAAGATAAAGATACTATCTTGTATCTTGTATCTTTTATCTTGTATCTTGACCAAGTATCTTGCCCACCCCTGGTATTTAGGAATAGCGAATGGGAAAACTCAAGATGATATGTGTCTATTACCTCCCTGTCTTTAATGCTTAGCGTCTTGGCATAATTTAGCAAACTGGAATCATAATTCTCAGTGCAAATAATGTCAAATACAACTGGAAATCGATTGAATACAGCCCACTTCTCAATTTTAGCAAGTCCTAAGCCGCCTTTGGTAACTATTAAAAAAATTGAATGGTCACAAACAAAACAATTTGCTAAATTGACTATTAAATGTACCATTTCCATCCTTAAGAAAAATATTTAGTTGTGTTTTTGATTCACTCGATCCTTTCTGTTCCGAAATAAAGTTTCGAATCCACTCCAAAAGACTACTTGGTGCAACTGCAAACCCATCGAATACGACTCCAACTTTACGCCACATTTCACCTCCAATCCTCAGAACCAATGCTTCACCACTTCCCTCAAAGCTGTTAACAAGAAAATATTTAGTGTAACGCATTTATATAAGTATCACAAAATATGCAAGGATGTGATACTGAGGTTAAGTGATTTAAGACAAAATAAATATTATAAAAATGATATTTAGAATAATTTTTAGCAAAAGAAGAAACTATTCATTTAGCTCTTGATCTAAAATTCAAGTTCATTCAATATTACACAAAACACTAACAATTAATTGTAACAATTCCTCCTCAGTTTTATTAAAAATCAAAAGTTGGTCACACACACAATTAGTCACAACGAGTCAGTCAAACTACATATGCATAAACTAAATCTTTTTCATTTCAATAACTAGTAAAGATTATTACCTGTTGACATCGAAATTACGAGGATGCAACTGTTTTATACTTTGAAACTCTTTCCTTGGGTAGTAAAAGTAGTCTTGTCCGCCATTTAGAAATGAACTCAGAGGTGATGATGAGCCAGCTTTATTGTCATCAATATTATAAGAACTCTTGGAAAGCACTATTTTGACATTCTTCAAGCTCCCCTTAGGGACGTAAACTGTCCGCATCTCTGTATCATAACCTCGTAGTGATACATTTATTTTGTGATATCCTTCTGACATCATTTGTACAAAACGACCAGAATTTTTGCTAATTTTTCCTTGTTCATAGTGACCATGTCCGGAGACAACGCTTAGTTGAGCGTTCCTCAAAGGTTGACCTGAATTATCCACCACATTGCCAGAAATACCTGCGAAACAAATAAGGAATAATATATAATATATGTATACAAGTGAATATGTCATACAAGATATAAACAACAAACAAATATAGCTATTCTAACCTTGGGAAGACAGATCTAAAAGATCAATAAAATGGTCCAGATGTTTGATGTATGCTTCAGTGACATCATTTATAGCCGGAACATCACAACAAAACAAGGACAGAGGAACCTTAAAAAAACATAGTCAAAAATCAGAAACATATTTAAGCTACTGTTACATAATTTGATAAAATGTGAGCGTACAATATTTAACTTCAACATGCCATCCTTTACTAGATCGGCTGTACTCGATATATTTACAGAAGCACATGGATCTCGACTTGTTGATTTTTGGAACAGCTCATTAATTGACATATAAATACACTTTTCGTCCTTAGGGAACCTGAATAGAAAAACATATCTGAAGATTGGTAAATTGATATAAAGAAGATAAGTCACATTAATGACGACTCTTACGATAAGCTTTTGCCACCAGAAGTCAAACTTAGGATGACGTCGTTATTCATAGATTTAACGTATTCAGCCAAGTTCAACAAGGTTTTACTAATATAATCAGCCACGGTGGTGTCATCCACTACACAGTTATCTAAAATTTACATATCAAATTAGTTTTACATGATCACAAAAATTATAATAAAATTTTCTGCATATGTCACATACTTGAAGACGAGAGAGCCGAAGAGTCTGGGAGCAGTACGAAATGAATTACACTCTTCTTCAAAATGTTGACAATTCGGTTATCTGATTGACGATATGCCATTGTTAAATGTCTTGCAATTCTGGCTAGAAGTTCATTTCCTGCAGGTCCTACAATCCCTCCTACGAGGGAGATATGTATTTTGAGATCATCCGGTGAACCAATCTGAAAACATAGTACAGAATATGAATACATACTTATACAGCTTTATTCTAATAATAATAGTGCTAATTCTTGTGAATTACTTGATCTGTCATTGTAAGAACATGCATATCTCCAATTTCCTGATGATCTAAAATATCAAAATTATCTACAGAAAATCCTTGAAGATTGCTTGAACTAATGTCGGTGAAAAGATCTGTAGCAATGTTTTCGTTAATTCCATAGTCGGCTTTCTGTGACCACTCTTTGGCTCGCAAGGCTTTCAATGTAAAATTGAGTGGCGTTCCAATACCCTTGTTGACCGTGACAGTCCGTGTTAAATTTTCATAGCTGAAAACATTAACATTTGAAATATATTTAAGATCATACAACCACAGGCAATTAACAAAGTCAATTTCCTACCCAGTGAATTCAATTGTTATGTTATATGTGCCAGCGGAAAGGAGTCTCCAAAAATCTCCTCCGTCAGCAGAAGTGATCGAATGCTTCAAATTTTCAACAGAAATTTTAGCTCCACCCAACATATTGTTGTTTTCATCCATTACAAATCCGTTCACACCCGTGTGAACCTAAAAGTTATTAAAAAACATAATAATGTGAAAATGCATCGTGACGTAGACTAGAAATTATATGTATGAATTGAATGAATGTCCAATCCAACCTGTTCTATAAAGTTGACCAAAGAAACTTTGTTATCATCCCAATAGCCAGCAATTTTATTGGCCATGGGAAACTTGACGCATCCCAATTCCAAAGTTACTTCCAAGCAATTTGAATGCAGATAATTCCAGTCTTGCATTCCACCCTGGACAATATACCAAGATGCTCCGTTGGTTATTCCGTCAGTAAATTTGTCTGGATAAAGTTTAGGACATGGAACTCCTTTCCACATTGATTTGTGAGACTATAAATCGGATTAAACATACAATAATTAAGAGAATATTCAAATTTAAGGACACTAAGTAAGCCTCATCTTAGATACCTTAGAGTACGACAAAGCTAGTTCCCTGAAGACTTCATTGTCTGGGGATGGACTCTCCTTACTTTCCATGTCTTTATTGTCATCAAATGGATAGTTAACGACTAGAGACCCTCCATGAAGGTTGGCAGATAGTACGAAAGGATATTCCTTGACCCACTTCATCACGGCTTTTGTTTCTGGTTCCAACACCAAATTTTCACGGTCCTTTTTACTCTCATCCGAGTCGGACAGATTATCGAGATATTCATCATACTGATCAGGAAAGTTTCGGTTGAGATCAACTTTATTTGCATTTCCTCGTCCAATATCACCCTTAACATCGCCTGAAATATATATAAGAAAATAATACTGTTATTAGCATATGTACTTAGAAGTTCGAACACAAACTGCAAATTTCACAGTAATATGAGTGACCTTCTGTAGATACTTCGTAACCATCAGGATTCATAGACGGCATTATGTGAATTCGAGTCGTATCCACCAGTCTCGTAATGTTGGTGTCCTGACCATAAGCCTCCAGAAGATATTGAATAAGTGTGATCAACATTTCCCTCCCAATGACTTCATTTCCATGCATGTTTCCCACGTACTTAAATTCAGGTTCACCTGAATATATGATTAAGTTAAATTAATTAATCGTCGCTACATACATTGTCCCAATTACTTCTCCTCTAATCAAATCATATTCTGTGTTCTCAACAACCGACCTAACTCATGATGTCCAGGATTATCAGTGATTTCCATCACGTATAATTCCCGTTGTTGGACGCTCTTCCCAATCGAGTAGAGTCTTGATATGTGCGGATATTGTTGGCTCATCCGTTTCATGAATGCTTCTAGTTCAGCATAATTGTGGTGCTTGAACTCCGGGTTGAAGGTGTGGTAGATATCAGATGCTTTATGAAAAAAATATAAAAACAGTGAATTTATTTAATCGTATTTCCTCGTAAATTTAATGTTTTTGCAATGCAATTTTTCTATAAGTTTATTAAAGTATATATTTTTTGTTATTATACCAACGGTGCTACACACTATGTTAACATCACAATGGGTTAAACTAATTTAAACTATTAATACTTCTGATTACTCTTTGAGAGAAAATCTTGAATCAATCAAGTTATTCAACATCACAGAAAAAGTTCGGGAAAGTTAAAATAAATTAAACTGTGACATTTGTGGACAAAATGTAGACTGATGGATCAAACTTATTCATATATAAGGTATTAATATAAGACAATAAAAATCGCAATGCTAGATAGTGACATGGAGTAAAAACAGGCCACAATTGGGAAGATTGCTATTCAGCATCACAGCAATGATCAAATACTGGAAGCAATTCCTCATCTTCCTTTTCCTCTGGAAGAACATAAACAAATGCATGCAGATACATATACTATATGGGAGTATGTTGGCTTGATTGACTAATCATGTCACTAAATATTAATAATATTGACTAAAACATAACATTATATTGTAATACTTTTTTCATTCGGAAATTGGTAAATCTTCAGACAGGACGTATGTATATGTTCACAACACAACGAGTATAATTATTACACATTTCATGATATATAAATCTGACAGTTCTACAGACGAAGTGTCGAAAAGAGGAAGAAGAAGCAAAATGAAACGACCAAGTAATTACCCGACGAGGATGTATTGACTCCTGAGTGTTTTTTAGTAGATGGTTGGAGAATAAAGTCTAAAACGGGAGCTTCTTGGTTTAAAACTACTGTGACATCAACGAAATCGCTCGGCTCATACCTGAAAATTGTGTATTAAATTTATCAAAAATTTAATCATGTAAATAATCAAGTACGAATTACTAATTAATTGCACAATTACTCGAGTGCCTTAACTCCAACACGATACTTTCCAGGGGTCAATAGTCTCCAATACTCTCCCTGTTTAGTCGTTCGTACATTGTAGCCAATTCCTTTAACAATAATTTCAGCCGCTCCGATTGGATTGTTTTTAGAATCTCTCACAAGTCCTTTGATTCCAGTATGTGCGACTTCAATAAACTTGTACAGAGATTCGTTGTTATTGGCCCACTCATCGAGCAGGGTCGAAGATTTGGGAAACTTGCAGCATGACAGTTCAATGGTAATTTCGAAACAGTTTGAATGAACATAATTGAAGTCTTGCATACCACCTACGAGAACAAGCACAATAATGAAATTTGTCAAAAAGTAATCTAATCTCAAATTTATATGTAAATATGCTTGTGCATGTATTTATAAGTACCTCGCACATTGTACCAATTGGCACCATTCGTTATTCCGTCTTCAAATCGGTCACCGCATTTCTCATAACCTTTCATTGTCTTGTGGTTATCAGCATAAAGATGTGCTAAACTGACAAAGACGTCATTATCAGGAGATAAACTGGGAACGTCGTTTCCGCTATAGTGCCGATTATTCCTATATACCAAGGGGTGAAATTGTAGAAAAGTCACATCAAACTATTTTATTACATACAAATATACAATTCGTTTATGCTACTACTTACTCTACACTCTTTGGCACTGAATCGTATGGGTAACTGGCGACAACTGAACCACCGTGAAGATTTAACGATACGACAAATGGATTGCTAACAATCCAGGTCATTATGTTTAAAGTCTCGGGCTGTCTATTAGCTATCAGGGCCGAGTCATCAAGCCCACCCACTTCAAATTGATCTGGAAAATTGCGATTGAGGTCAATTCGATTAGCATTTTGTCTCCCTGTAGCGTCTGGATCAGGGGAACATGCTCCTTCTTTGGCTGCCTCGTACCCATCCGGGTTTACGGATGGCATCAAGTGAATATCAGTGGTGTTCAGAAGCTTAACAACTCTAAATGTGACATTCAAATTTTATAATTAAAAACTGATATACAACGCTTCTAAGTGTGCATAGTAATGTTTTGCCCTAAACCTTGAATCTTCATCTTCGTATTTTCGCAACAAGTCGACCGACATCATGAGTGTCAATGCCCTTCCGACGGTCTCGTCTCCATGCATGTTGGCAACAATCTTCATTGGTGGTCTCAACAGAGGTCGGTCTCCCGTTATGTTCGTCCCCATATGAATGACCCACATTTCTTTCCCCAAAACCGACTTTCCTACGGTGTATATGTGGACCAAGTCTGGGAAGGCTTTCTCCATCTCCTTGATCAATGTGGTTGTCTCATCGTATTTTGGGTATCTGGTCGACACGGTCTTCCACCACTGACTCAACTTGGCATCAAGGTTCTCTGCCCACGATTTCTCACCGATGATGATGAACGCGACGACAAAAGTACACAAGACGGAATACAACTTCATTTTGTCTGGTTCTAAATTGCGGTTCAGTCTTGAATTTTTTAAATAAGCTTCCGATTTCAAAAGACGACGAAAACAAGAGACAACTCCACCAACGGAGCAGAGGGAGACGACAGACGGAACTGACCAGTTTTGCTGCAACGTTGCTCATCAGCACATCATGGGTGACATGTCTGCACAGCCAAAGTAATCAATTTGAGTAATATATAAATCGCCGAGTTCATCCAGTGATTTTGTCGTCCTTGATGTTGACTGTGTTGAGTAGTAAATTGTACAAATGGTAAATAGTAATGACTAGTGCAAGGCCAACAAAGCGTAGAGTCGGTCGGTCCCAGATGCACTACTACTGAATTTGGGTTTCGAGTTTCCGTTGGACCTTTTTGTCAGTCAAATCAACACAAAGCCATACAAATGCAAACTCTGCTGCTCTGCGAAGAGATGATGAATTCTTGTTTACGGCTTTGCTTTGTACGGACAGATTTGCTTTGCTTCTCTCTCTCTCTTTGGAACCTGGTTAGTTTTCCACGCTTTTAAGCCTTGTGTACTGTATTACTCCTGGCCAGATTTGCTTGTGAACTTGAGGAAGGGCACTTTGATTTAATTATCTAGTAAGAGGACGAGGCTGATAGATGAGACCTTTTGCTTCGGGATGAAAATTATATGTTGTTGCTTTCCTTTATCCAAATCTCAGTAGTAGTGCTTGATGCAATTTAATTACTTGTTGGTTTTAACGCTTCTCTTCCTTTCCCTTGATTGTCAAATCTGTTCTTGGTGCAATTTAATTATGATTTGGAGGAAATTTCTTTTTTCTCAAGATCTTGATCTTCAGCACAACTTGATTATATATTGCACTGTTAGAGCTGAAATCCAAAGAGTAAAACATTGACTATTCATACGAGGAAAAGTGGAAAGTAACCACCCTGCTTCTCACACAAACACCCACAACCTTGGCATTCGAAATCAGAACAGAAACCTTTTTTGTCACTTGTAGACGGCTCAGTAAACCCGTGCTGCACGTACGTATTTTCTTGTGCATATATCTTTACATGTATGAAATGATCATGCAACAACGGAATGAATCAGATGATGTCTTGCAAAATCCCCCAACTTTTAAGCCAGTAGCCGTCGTAAACTTTTCAGAGTGTGCATGTTTAAAGGTAAGTCAATACGGTTGGAGGAGAATAAGTAGGTAATTAAGGCAAGAGCATAACATGCAAATTGTAATGGAGTCTCATCATGGCCACGGGCAACCGAAGTTAAATCTTATTATTGCTTTTGTCGTTTGACGAATGAGGAAACCCAAGTTGTTATTATTAACTCTAAGCCTTTGAAATGCAAAGCCAACAAAGATCCAGTTTAAAATTTAGTACGTGTATAGACAGCTGGATTTTATGACAAGGCAATCAAACGAATGAGGCGATTAGCAAAAACATGTTGGACAATAGATAAGTCCAACATGTGACTTAAAAAACATTTGCACATTATGTTTTACAAGTGTCTGATGGCAATGCAGACCTAATTTAAATTTTCGATGGAGAACTGTTCGATATACTTTTTATGGATTATGATGTGAAATTGGAGTATTACCCAATCGAATGATTATATAATGTACCAGAAAAAAATATATTATTTGCGTATATATGGAAGAATAAATATCATCACAAGTTAAATTATTTTCACTGCTTTGACCCCCATAAATTTTTTTTCTCCATTATTCAAGACGGTTTTCCCTAGCGAATTATTCTCGGTGACAATCCTAAACTTCGCTTGCATAAACATGCATACATATCGAAAAAATATATTTTTCTATTTAATTTTATATTCGTCAACCTGCCAGGTTGTATAAACCAGCATTCATTCATTATTTACACAGTTTCCTATTCTCGTAGTGGGTATGATTATGATGACGTGGGATGCATGCAAAAAGACGCGAATTAACTAACGTCTACTCTGGAACAGTGAACATGGACTACATAAAGATATGTATGCTGGATTTGCCTAAATAAAATTACTGGTTTGCAAAGGACAATTGTGCAAATTATGGACACCATACCCTGTTCATGGCGAACTATAGACATGCAAACAAGTTAAATGAGTATGGAAGTAGTTGAACTGCATGTAATGTATTTTTACACATATTTAATGGATGTTTGGGTAGGATAATGATTTAAGAATTCCAGTACATTCCTACATTCCAGTTTTTTATGCATGAATCCCTCATTTTTTGTTCAATTTATGAAATTTTGCTATGAAATAATGTGCAACATGCATTAAATTTCGATAATGCATTCACATCGTAACACACATCGCCGACCATTTAAAAACAAATAGGAAATCTCAGTCACAAGTTATATGCACTAACTGAATTATAAAACAACAAAAGAAATTCTGTAGGATTTTATAACACAAATATATAAAAGTCAATGGACCCTATTCAGTCCTTAGTAAATAGATTTATTATGAAAACAGAGTAGTCCTGTCGATGCTCAAAGCCTAAAAATAATAAAGTCGGTCGCATTGTGCCATATCATATCATATCGTGTCATACTTACATGTGTGGCTGTCAATTGTTACAGTTCTTCGACAGAGTTCAATCACATTTCACTATTTAAGCGATCAAATAAAGAAACGCATTGCATAAAAATAATGCTTAATCAATGTTGGTGTGATTGTGAAGTTAAAATTACTATTCAAAATACCTACCTATTCCAGCTATTATTGATTGTGAAGTTGTTGTAGTCGGTTTCTTTTAACAAAATATGCGAATTGTAAAACCATTCAAACCCGATTATTCTTAACTTTACGACCAATGGGAATTATGGGCTGACGAACCCAATTTAGGCAATAAATTAATGAAATGTGTGGAAGGGAATGTCATAAATTTTTGAAGAACGTAACGAAATAGAAGTATTATTATTCTTTTAAAAAGTCACCTTGTTTTAGCTTATGACGGGGATAGCACGCTCTACGCGGATTACAAGTCAATTATTATATGGCTGGATTAAACAGCATAAACCTTTCCCATTGAAAACAAAATTGTAAAAGTAATTCAATAAGCATTTTTCGTCATGAGTACTTGAATAGTATGATTGTTATAAGAATGGGGGTTAACAGGTTACGTCAATAACTGAAGAAATGGATTGTACTGATGATTGTAGTATTAATGTCAGCGAAATATCATCATCAAATAGTACCCAACAATTAATACTAACTAAATGTAGATGAAACAAAAAGGAGGGTTTAAAACACAAGGTCTTTAAATAGATCCCGTATATATATCGGATTCGAGGCAGACAAGAGTACTGAAATAACCATTGCAAATAAGTGTCGCAAAAAATTAAAGAGTCTTCGTAAATATGTAACATAACATACTGTGATGTCTGGTAACATATGGGAGACAAATTGTCTGAGACAATGCTGACGTATCAATTTAAAGGAATAGACTTCCAACAATGAGTCTGAAATTTTGAAATTGCAAAATTTGTTTATAATTGAATTAAAGCATGTAAAATTTTTTAAGCAGCCAATCTTGGTCTTTAAAATGCACATGGAACAGAAAATAATTTCTACTAAATTATGCCTTAGTAATTCAATAACGGAGTAGTTTGGGTAAATTACTGAAAATATATGGCCTAATTAAAAACCTTGTGTTAAAATTAAATATGATTAAATGCACTCAAAGCCTAATATGTTGTATGCATATATAATATGAATGTTCCATGCCATGATTAAAGATGTAGGGATGAATCGTGGATTAGAATACGGATTAAAAAATATAAGTAAAGTAGACGAGCAGTAGGACAGCTTAAACTAAAACCCATATTGAAAAAAAATCGCTCATAATTTGAAAGACGACTTTCATTTTTCGATTAGATGCAGCTCGTTCGGACTTCATGTTCTGATAAGGTCTTTCCGTTGTTTCATTCGTTTGATTGTTTGTCATTAAATTATAGCTTTGCCCTGAAACTAGGACTGTGATGATTCATGCACTACACATTGTAAATGAATTCACATAAATTCCAACATGACAAAATCCTAGAATTGCAAAAGTTCGTGAATCAAAACTGACTTATCATGGGACTCCAGAAATGCTTCAAGTTAATAATCCAACCATTGTAGATAAAGTATACACATACGATGCAATTTGAAATTTCCTTAAATATTTTAAGCGTTGCACGTACCTTTATCCTTCCACAAACTTGGTCCCAAATCATGCAGGTGGCAAGTCACAAGTTCTTATCAACTATTTTGTTTATTCAGCATATTTACAAAAATAAGACGTGTTCCGGGTTGACATGCGACACTATCCCAAATATACACTGAAACTGGGTTATCAACTCGTGAGCAAGTACGATGATGCTATTTTTGAAGGAAGAATTCAGTCTCTAATTTTCTCGTTTCGTGTCTTGTAGTTGTTACTTGTTGCTTGTACTTCAAAATTTTCGAAAACTGAACCAGGTAACAACAAGCTTGTATTGTTCAACTAAACACACATCAGGCACTCTTAGTTATCGATTTGCTGATTAATCTGGCTATCTTTTCGTTCCACAATTAATTTCTTATTCAAACACGACATAAATTTTTCAGTCTATCCCATGATATTGTAATTATTCCTTCAGAAAGATAGAAAAACAAACCGTGGTCCTGAGGCTTTCGGAGATGAATCGAAACAAAACTTAAATTTGAATAGTCATCAAATTCAAGACTTCAATATTAACTATTTAATCGCAATTCTGGGACCTGACTTCGTGACTGTGTGCACTACGTTATTAATAACAATACTTTATACTTCATTTACAACGTAAGGCAGAAAATGCAAAAATTGTGTGCCTAGGTACACTAGATCGGTGGTAGTTGTGGTAGTGCTGATGTCAAAGTATCATTTGCCCTTATTTCTATTATTTTCTCACTAACTACGGTTAATTTAGCTACGAGGTTGGAGGTGGTGTAGGATTTTACCACATCACGTAAAAAAATAGTTCAGTTTTATCCTGCAGCAGTAGCAGTGCAACAGCCCAGATGACAGAAGTTCGAAGAATCCGCGTTCGTCGCAGCCTGCGAAAATAAGAATAAGAAGGAAGGATGAGCAAGTTGCTAAAATATGCAATAACTTTTTTAACTACAAACTAACTGCAGACGGCACTACCGCACTATTTGTTTAAACAAGATTGGCTTGCCGAAAAACAGTTTGCGGCAGCAGGCAAGTAGGCTGGTGAGGTATAATATTCATTGATTTCGGCTATTTCTACTCGTTATCAATGATAACTTATCATGATTCTGTCTTTCTTATAAATGGAATTTAGTTCGAATAGTACGATTACGAAGATTTAAAATAATCATTAATGTTTAATAATTGGTGTTGGTTGTGGTTGTTTATTTCAGATTTGGGAGGTACACTAGGAGATTTTACAGTGTTAGTTGTGGGGGATTTAGCTTCTTGGGATATTTTTGCAACAGTCGCAAAAATCAGTTTTGTCTGGGAACGAACACTGTAACTGGACATGAAAATGGGGTGCTGTTTCAGCTGCAAAGATGATGAAGATGATCAGGTAAATAATTAATGAGTAATAATATTATTTACCATACTATTTAGTAAAGTACGGAATGCACAGAGTTGTGTTGGTATGAACTAGAAATTTGGTTTAAGATATGTTTCGTTATTAGGGTAACAACACAACAGAAAGACAACAATTGCTAAGAGATCCCATTATTAATGCTACCGCAGTGGTAGATGTTCCTTCCTGGTAAATCATTCAACATTTCTGTACCGAATTTACACATTGTGCATAATTTTTTGTTTACACACATTGTACATAATGTACCTTATCAAGTCTTCATAATATTTTCAGTGACCTAAAAAATGTGAACATTATTGAGGGACAGCCATCCCGCGGACAAGAGGACGAATTAGCTAAAATTTTACATGAGACTGCATCAGCAATGATTGATGTGTCCGGTTCTGGGTCTCATTCCTTGGACCAGAGAGAATTTCAAGAAAGAAGTCGCCAATACCTGAGTGCTATCCAAGCTCTATCTCCAACTCTTCTGAAATCACCTAGTCTGCTTCTTGGGGATTTTCCAAATCCAGAAAGGCAGTTGGGATGCGCATTAATTTCCCAAGAAGACTTAGTCCTTGTACTTTTCTGTTTTTATTATTTGCATTTGTTTAAAGCTAGTTTTTTAATAATTAGTCATCTTCTAACAGTATTTATAATCTTTCAGATGGAATGGGCCATGAGTGAAGTCGAAGAAGCGTTGCATTCCATCCGAGTCGAGCATGACGAAGATTTAGTGGTACCTTTTGGGGGTTCATCTTCACAGCTAATAATGTCATCACCCACGCCGTCGTCTTAATTTATTGGCGTGAGATGCGGTAGCAGCTTCACATAACTTACCAGACTGAAAGTGCCAACCTTAAAATATTTACATCTCGTACGTATCAACATGAAATCTGCAAACTTCGTTTCTACATTTCTCTAAGTTATTAACTTTTAGCTGAGTTTTAGTTCATAAGATTTAATTTTTAGATTTAATTTTTATTTTAAACTCAAACTAGATGTTTGTGTCTTATTACTTAATTAGTCAAAAATTGTAATTTAATGGACACTCTTGAAATCTTTTCCATGTATAGACCTTTACTGTAAACAAGAAGCAATCATTTATTATTGACCTGAAATATTTTATCGCGTGATATCAAATTAGTTTTTAAATATAATAAATAAACGCACTAATTTCGTACGCTTGCTTTGTATATTTCTACAATTTTAAGTTAATCTAATCATGTCTCACTTTCTATGGCTTATTACTTTGTCCCTGTAATACTTTCCCTACCTCTAGTTCCTTAATTCAATATATGCGAAATGTACTTGTATAAGTTTCAGACGACTTTGTAAAGAATGTGACTTATGAATGAGTAATACCATTGCACAATTATGGTACGCGTATAACTTTTATAAATCAACTACATCACAAACAAACTCTATGTTTTTGAAATAATTTATAAATCAAACGAGCAATTTTTCCTTAAACGATAAAAGTAAACTACTGTATTTTAAATGATCGGGATTACATAAACCAAAAAGATGAGGCTAATTTAAAGTATGGTAAAGTAATATGCAGAGAAGACAGGAAGATCAAAATAATAAGAAAAAAGTAAAGTGTGTAATTTATATGTTAACTATCTAAACGTATGTAAATGTAAGAGATTTTATGATAAATGAAAATAATAAGATATATATTCGTAATAGTTTAGTAATAATAATCACAGGAGAGCAATAAATGCGACCAAAGTAAAATGCAAGGAAATTACATGTAATCATGCAATTTTTTATCCTTCATCATCAGTTTTGTGTGAGAGGCATCATTTTGCGAAAGATTTGCAGATCCAGCGACAATGGGAACGAGATCGTCATAAAGTTTTGTCTCAGACGAGGTAAACTCCCCGCGTTCAAACCACCTCTGCTCCCAATTCAGCCAAGATACCCGACTTATTTGCAAAATCACTTCCACACATAGAACCTAAAGTAAGTCACCCTCTATTCCTCTTTGCACTATGTATTCATAATAACCTCATTTCGATAAATTGCAAGTGTACAAAATTGTCGGGAAAGTATTCCACTAAATTTTGGAAGAAACGGTTGAAAGTGAGTTGGGTTTGTGACGTGTGATATGAATTGGTTTTTAGGGGTTTTTTATTGTCTGGCCCTGTTTACTTATTCTGTTTAAACCAAGGCTTTTGTGTGCAGTCTTTCTGAGCTGCAGTTTTCGTCATGTGATCCGACGAGCACCAATAGGAACGGGTTTCGTGCGGTGGTGGCGCACCCGAGTTGCACCCGAGCTATGACTCGGGTGCGATTCGGGCAGTCACGTGACGAAAACTGCAGCTCAGAAAGACTGCACACAAAAGCCTTGGTTTAAACTAGCTTTCAACTTTGTTTAGCAATTTAAATTACTGATTACAGGCTTGGAGACACTAAATTGTTGGTGTGGGAGTGGTGACTTTGACGACTTTTCCGCCGGATTTGTGATTAAGAAAGGTTTTATACATTCTTAATCTGCATTATGCTAAAATTAATCTACCTTCTTTGCAGAAAACAGTACGGAGAATCCAAAGCGATATAAAATGTCTACAACGGAAGGGGTGGAGCTTGCCGAAAAATGGTTGGCGTTAAGGATCAAGAGCAAGAAGAGCCAAAGTACAATTCTTCGGGATGTTAGCACCAAGCAGACAGTCCATGAATTTATTGTCAAGCTGGCCGAGATGACGGACGTGCCCGAGGATAAGATGATGATCTTAACGGGCTTTCCTCCCAAGAAGATAGAACTTGATCGATTGGCGCTTTTGGAATCACTTGGACTTTCAAATCAGGACACTGTAATTGTTGAATTGGATGTTAACTCGTCGGCAGCACCAGCAGCAGGTATATCTAAATACTATTTAGTTTGTGTAATCAAGAACGATATAAATATGTTAGCTGAAATTGCAAATATTTCAAATGCCTTATTATATTTTTAAAAGGCACATCTCTGCTTCAATCACAAGCTGGAAAAGTTGACCAAACTCCACCTACTAATGGTCCTTCTGAAGCACCCGTGCGTAATCAACTCATCATTAATGCTCTCAATGCGTCAACGGTGGTAAGTGATCAGCCAAATATTTACACAAATAATAATTCAAAAACATAGTTGACACTATGTGATAATGGTTTGGCAATAATAATACCGAATAGACAATAATTGTTTTTATGTATTTTTTATTTCAGAAAGAGTTAGAAACCCAGAAAGTACCCACAGTCGATATTGATTCTCCAGAATTATCAAGAGCTCTAACTTCATCTACTCCCTCAGCTCCGTCATACCAACGCCAGAATTTGTCTAGTGAGGGAATGTTGTTACGGCAGATTGTTCCTGCAGACAATTCCTGTCTTTTTACTTCCATCTCATTCTGTCTGACAGGTGTTATATTTTTCCATGCTAATTGATTTTTATATAAATCATGAAAAACATGCTTAATTTTGTAAGAGTCGAGACTAGTTAAAAATATTGTCTGTATTCTATTAAGGAGGTGCAAATGAGCACGAGGATCCTGGAGCTACTCATACTCGAGAGCTGATAGCTGCAACCGTTGCGAGCGATGCAGACCGTTTCGATGAGGCAATGCTTGGCCGTCCAAATGCTGATTATGTTCAGTGGATCATGAAGAGCGAGTCCTGGGGTGGTGGTATTGAGCTGTCCATCTTATCAGAATTCTATGAATTTGAAATGGCGGTTGTGGATATTCAGTCCTTACACATTTGCAAATTCGGGGAGGACAAAAATTACTCTGAGCGACTGCTCTTACTCTACGATGGAATACACTATGATCCATTGTATTTTGATCCATTTGATGTAATACTTTCAACAAAATCTCTTAATATCTATGAAACTAATATCCTATATATTATCAGCAATGCAGGATAAACTATCTTTTTCTCTCTTATTATTATTTTAGGGCAGCAAAATCCAGACCAAGTTTCCGACTTCGGATTCTTCAATTTTGGATAAAGCAATCCAACTTGGACGGGAAGCCAAAGCTGCTCATCAATTTACAGATTTGAGTAACTTTTCTCTGAAATGTGGGGTTTGTTACCAACTTCTCAAGGGTCAAACGGAAGCGCAAGCCCACGCTAAGCAGACTGGACATACCAATTTCTCAGAAATTACTCAATAGCGACCTGTATCGTCTTACTTAAAGTAAAGAACTACACAATATATGAACGAAAAGAATCAAAAAATTCAGCTATTTACATTATCACATAAAACTGTGACTAACAAACAACCTTTTAATTCCGCTCAGTATCACATATAAAATTGAAAAAAGATACAAAATCTTATACTTTTTATCTTCCACTTGTTAACTTATAACCAGTCAATATCAACTCGCATATTTTTATATGTGTCATTTATCATTACTGCTGTAATTACTGGATCCCAATCCACAAAAATTTTTTGTTATGCTATAAAATATTAAAAGTATGTACCATGTCATTTCAATGTACGTGTCAAAATTATAACCAAAATGCAAAAATAAATTCGTAATATACAGGAAATTTATCATTTCATGAGCCCATAAAGTAAAAAACCAATCTATGAGGATGTTGGGCAAATTGGAACTCTGTCAGCCGCGGCTGAACGAAATCTTCATTCATAGACGAGAAAACAACGATTGGAAACTAAAAGTATAAAATTTTTAGTAGTGCAGTGATTATCTATTTCAACCCTTAAAATTAAGTATAAATTGACGACGGTAAGGTTCTACGCTACGCATTCAGTCCCAACTTGGGATGATAATCGTCATTAATTGACAATAAACTTATTGTTTAAAATTGCAGGTTTTCCCCATTGACTAGTAACTAATTGTACAACAATGGCAAACATACAAAGTGAAAGTGGTGAAAAGACCTTGTCTCAACAGTTTGATGAGGCTTACACCGATTTCAAACATCTAGTGGACGATGACGACTCAATCACCTCGTCTACTGCGCAGGTAAGTGTGCTTAAATTTAGGGCATTTCGTAGTGGTTATAAGCAATTTACATCATTACATTTTGTAGGACCTTCTCCTCAGAACTATGAAAACATTAGAACGTATCACCGTTGAAGTCTCCTCCTTGGATTTGTTCAGCAGAAACGAAAATTTCGAAGAAATAGATTCCAGACGTTTAAAATTCCTCCTCCTCCCATACATGCTTGGTACCCTTTGGCAAATTAGCATGACAGAGGACCGCAAAAGTATTTGTGAAATTAGCCGAGTCTATTTTAAAGATTTCCTTAAACGATGCATCGATTACGAAATCATTACCCAGTCCGAGTATATTAATTCCCAGGACGATGATGACGATGATGAAGAAAACACCGTACGATCGTCCAAAAGATTGACACCTGACGAAAAACGGCAAATAAAAATACGCAAGTATAAACAGAATAAGGAACTGGGAGAAGCGCTTGCGGCGTTTCAGAATTATGATTTAAAATATGTGAGCTAAATACCCTTGCAATTAAATTATCCTGTTATTTATCATCAATGTAAAAGGACGATTCATAATTAAGGTTTTTCTCCTCAGGACGATGACGATTTTTCCATATATTCAAAAGAAATTTTTGTCACGCTGATTAAATTAGCCATAAATAACTCGGAGGACCAGCTAGAATCTATCGAAATGGAAATGAATTTGATAAAATACCACAAGGAGAACCCAGACAATAGTGCCCCATCAACGTCATCTCCGCGGAAACCCCTCCAACCGTTCATCATTACAAAGGACGCAGCACAAAAGGCCGTTTATGGAATGGGCTACCCTGCCCTGCCCATCATGACCGTGGAGGAATTATATCAACAGCGTCGTGAAACTGGGGAATGGGGTCCTCCACCCACGGCTGGGACGGCACATGATCCTGAAAAGGATGCCGAACTGGAAGCTCGTGTTAAAGATTTATTGGAGGAACAAGACGATGAAGTTGAACTGGAGAGAAAGCGGAATTTCGACGAGTACAAGGATGAGCATCGCAGGGGATGGGGAAATCGTTTCAATAGGAGTTAAATAAATCACAGTATCATTTATCTCGTTATATTGGCAAGTTTAATTATACATACAATAATGCTATATATGAACGAATAATAACCCAATTTTACGCTATAAGGGCTTTATTTTATAAATAAAGTGGTAAAAACTAAAGAGAACATTGCATTTTTTGCCCGTAGTCCAAGTCTAGTCGAGATTATAATCATAATTTGTTTTATTAGTTTAGTCTGTTACAGAAAATCTGAGAATGCATGTTCCTTAAAGTTGCATGACTCATTTTGCTTATCGTTAGCGCATATTATAGGTCTGTCTGTTGGTTTAACTCTAACTGACAATGTTGCGTTGATTAGGATATATGACATTTAACCTTTTGATTGAAATGAACATGTTTATTTATTCACTTTTGAAATATGAGACTTGCACCATCATTAGATTTTACTTTGTAGGTAATTAGCAGCCGAGAATGCAACATTGTCTGGTCTGGACCACAGAGTTTAATAAGAATGTAAAGGATCTGGAGCATAGATCATGTAAATCTGTGTTAGGTCTTGACTTGAGACATCATTTATGCTTATATTCTTTATTCATACGGCAAAAATGCGGTCCGGTATTTTGCATGTAACAAACACGTCGTATTTGCCTTAATAATTTTTAACCGTTCCAAACATCTATTGTCTCACATTCTTCACATTTTTATCTTTCTGAATAACCTGTTGGTAAGATTTAGAATGGATTCATGACACGTAATCGAGCCTTATTTGATCTAAATCATTAAAATGCATTCAAATTTTGTTAATCTAAAATCCCAAACACTGCTTCGAGTAAAATTATTTTGGAAAAAGCAAAACTTTTGTTTGTTGAAAGAGGTGAATCAAGTTTTTAAGAGTGAAAGATGTATGTGATAATAATAAATGGAAAAGGTCCAACCCCGAGTCAAATGGGAGAGCCAATGGGGACCAAATCATAGTCTGTTAGGAGGTCTTTACTATACACGAATCTTATTCTTTGTTGTCTCATCATCTCCTCAGCAAGAGTGTGAAGCATCTCAACGCAAGAAATAAGTCGTCTCAACCCTACGTTAGCAAAGACTGCAGATAGAAAAGCACAGAAATTTCATGTTACCATCCACGCCACCAGTAGAAGTACAGAGATCTCGTATGTGTACATGGCTTTACAAGATGCAAGATCACTTTTTTGAGAAATAATCTCAACTACTTTATCGCATGCAACAGTTTCACCTCGTCGAATCAACATCTCGCCAACGCCACGCGAACAACATGCATTTGTGTTTTTAAGTTTCTGGATAGCAAGTACTCACGTGGCTTAAAAATGCTTGAAAAATATTTATTGTAACATCAATAGAAGTTTTTTTTCTAAGGTTGTAGGCACAAGTGTTAATTTTATTGGCAAGAAGGTGACTTGAGTGGAAAATAAAAGTGTAATTTACTAACCTTTCAAAGGTGTAATTTATGGATTAAATTGAATTATGGCCTTAATCTTGTGGTAGTGTGTGAACCAGTGTTTTGCTTATGACTGTTATGACTGTGTCCAGCATCGATATGTTGCGATCTTGTTTTACGGGGTATCCATTCCAAGGTAAGCCTTAAAGTTTACTTGATCAATTTCAATTCTGACAATCTCGATTTTTTTATATTTAACGTTTATTTCATGATGTTTCATGAAATGGTATTACTCATCTCAGAGACATTTACATAATTAAATCGGATTAATAACTGGATGACTCATCATGAGAAGTCATTCTTATCTGGGAAATACATATTGTAATGAGCACATAATTTATAGCTGCTAGATTTTAAAATCTCATTCGATCCTACATGATTTTTGAAATGGCCAGGATGCAATGTGTCACCGTGCACTGAACATGTAGGGCGATTAGTCTCACCAGAGTTGAGGCAGGCAGGGGAATTACGAGTAAGGGTTTAAAACAATGTCCATGTCTTATCTTTATTTCAGTCATTTGTCATGACATGCATCTATGTCGATATTTCCAACCCAGCAACGATTCAAATGTTTGAAATGTGTTTAAAACAAGTGTGATATCTTCGTTTTTCGGACAATTATGATCAACAATTTTTGGCTATCAACGCGTTTGATTCGTGGTCTCCAATATGTACAAGTTAATTATGATAAACGTCACTTCTTGTGATTATGGTTATTCTGGTGTCATCTTATATGTACAGTCTGTTATTTTTTCATGACTAGACAATCGTATAGCCCATGCACAATAGAAAAATAAACTAGACACACTCTTGTGTCCACATATGTACATATACATACATTTGCCGTTTCATAAAGTCTTAGCTAGACTAATACATAAATTGCTTTTCCTAATTTCAAAATGATCGAGTCATCAACTAGTCAAATAATTCTAGTCAGTTGTCTCTTCTCGAAAGTTTCATGTTTCATTGTAAAATTCCCGATTTTATTTTATTGCAGGACAAGGCCGTATGAATCAGTTGGGGGGAGTGTTCATCAACGGACGTCCCCTTCCAAACCACATACGATTAAAAATTGTGGAAATGGCCGCGTCCGGCGTTCGACCCTGCGTAATTTCCCGACAATTACGAGTCTCTCATGGATGTGTGTCCAAAATTCTCAACAGATATCAAGAAACGGGTTCCATCCGTCCCGGCGTCATTGGTGGCAGCAAACCTAGAATCGCACCCCCAGACGTTGAACGAAGAATTGAAGAATATAAACAAGAAAATCCAGGCATTTTTTCTTGGGAAATAAGGGACAGGTAGCTAAATTTGCATATGTATCTTATGTTTTGCGTAGTTTAGCTGTCAAGAATTGCATAAAATCCGTGTGATGTGTTTCCTGCAAGAGAAAATAAGGTTCTACATTGCAAAGAAATTTTCCATGCGACTATTATTACGACTAGCTCACTGTTTACTTTCAATGCCTGAGTTTGTTTTGTTATTACTATTATTCCTGCAATACTTTGTTTATGTGTTTGCAAGAATGAATGCCTTCTTCAGAGGCTCGGGCTGGGCTTTGATTGCTCTATTTCCTCATTCTCTTTATGTCACTTAGTGGCTGGCTATCACTCTTTTTCATGTAATTCTTTACTTGATTTACTTCTTAAAAAATTAACAATCTGGTTTCCGTTTGTGCTCATATTTTGGATACGGCTCGGGAAGGTTTTGATACCTTGAATGCGTTTGTATGAATGTTTCAAGTTTTTATTTTAGTTTTCTCCCAGTTTTTGAATCGTACGTTAAAGTGAGAAAGTAAGCTGATTGAGATTTCCTCTTTACTTTTACAGATTGGTGAAGGAAGGGCTTTGTGACAAGAATAGTGCACCATCGGTCAGTGCGATATCTCGCTTGTTGCGTGGTCGAGAGGGCGATATTATGGACTCGAGCGAAAAGAAATTCATGGATTCAGGTAAGAACGCAATACTTTTAATTCCTCTTTCATCCAGTGTCCGCTTTCTGGGGTCTAACTCCCGTTTTCTCACGATATGATAAGTTACAAGGAATGTGTACTTTTTTTAATTAATTGTGAAATGTGACCAGCTTGTTATTACATGATCCAAATTGCACATTTTAAAATCATATAATTCACATGGATCCGTCAAGTATGTAAAAAAGAGGTGAAATCTTGTCAATATATTGTGGCCATGTTTCAAGTTTACAAGTTATAAGTACATATAACGTAGCATTGTGGTATGAATGAACTTTTGTTCCGAGAAATATTTGTAGATTGTGCGATTTAGTCAAGCAATTTAGCAAAACAACGATTGGCATTTCATTCAAGCACAGCATAAAAAGTGTAATACGACAACGTAAAACGCAGCCAATAAGGCAATAATAATAAATGCGTTCGTAGTATAATAATTTTTATTACTTCAGTATTCGCTCACATATTCCTTGTCGTACTCGCACTTTGTGTGCATTAGGATGCGTTAAGGTACTCGGTTCTTCAATATTGTTCAATGAAATTTAATACGTGCTTTAATGCATTTCCACAACATGTTGCACGATATATTTCTCATATGCAAATTAGCCTTTAATACGTCCATTATCTTTAATAATTTGTCCCTTCGCGGAACTATGAATATCTGGTTTCCAGATTAACGTCTTAATACATACAATCAATTAATTACGAGTTTTCTAAATGCACTTTAGTCTATGAAATTTAGAGGATAATTCAATGGAATAGCATAAACATTCGACTGGGAAGTCTTCCTAGAGTTTGTACAAATGTTCACATAACATGATATTACATTAATGAGCATAATAATGGTCCATCCCAATCAATGAACTCTATTGATCATCCGGTGAAAAAAAATGTATCACTTCCCTTCGAACTTGGGTTTGTGTAAGCGCCGCCGGGCATTTGCACCTTGGCTTCGTGTGATTTATGGGTGGTTCTCTAGAATCTCATCATGTATTGGAGAGATCGAAATATAATCTCGTCATCATCGAGTCCTGTTTTTTCCAACCTCCGCCATCGTCCAGGCATGAACTGGCACGAAATGCTTTTATCATCTTTTTCTATGATTGAACTAATTTAACCTATAACATCGGCATTCTCTAATGAGGCCAAGTGGGCGAGGTTCACTCCTTTTGTAATTTCGAGAAAAAAAACACTAACAATTTGTGACTATTTCGTTTAGGTGAAAAACCAAATAGTGACGGCTCTGACTGCGAATCCGAGCCTGGAATTCCTCTAAAGAGAAAACAACGTCGAAGTCGCACTACTTTCACTGCTCAACAACTAGACGAGTTGGAAAAGGCGTTCGAACGAACCCAGTATCCGGACATCTACACAAGAGAGGAACTCGCACAAAGGACAAAATTGACAGAGGCCAGAATTCAAGTAGGAAATATTTACTAAAGAATTCATCTACTTGTTTATTTTCCTGTATACTAACTTTCTGATCCAGAAATGAATTCCTAAAACAAGCTAAAAAAATCTTTTCTCCACTTTCACCAGGTTTGGTTCAGCAACAGGAGGGCGAGACTTCGTAAACAGATTTCTGGCAGCAGTGTGAGCAGTGGGAGTTACAACAATTCTTTGGGGATGAGCATTCCCATCTATTCGACGACCCCTTCGACGTACCACACCCACTCCGTGCTCTCACATCATCATCAACAGGGCCTGGTGGATTCTCACTTTCCCTCCTCAGGCACTGCTCAAGGTAAATTTGATTAGTTGGCTGTGTAGACGGTTGCGCATTTTTAGGAATTTGACTAATTCGGGCAGGAATGAGACATGTTTTACCTTTGTGTTAATGAGACAACCATTTTGAGCATAATGGGTTGAAAGTTTACTGTGGAATTATTAGGAAAGACCACCCACTACCCTCTGTCGTCCCATTGTTTCAACCAATTCAACGCTAATTAAACAACAAATGTCATTCTCTCTCACCGTGGTCTTGTTGTGAACGAGTGATGCGTTATTATTGCAGTCAGTGGTTGGGCATGGCGATGTGATTGTCAAACTTTTGAATGAAATGAAGTAGACTTTGCACTACGCAATACTCCACCAACCGAAGCAAACCTTTAATTATTGTAAATGAATGAGTCAAGTGATGATTCTGAAGGATTGAATGATTCCATCCAATTCACAGGGTTCGTTCGTTCGAACATGTGTAGATCTTGTACCATTTCATCAAACAACGTCACCCGATTTTCATACCAAAACATACGAAAAAAGCTCGGAATTCAGAAACCACGTAGCACTTACATATCTGTGTATGCATGACCACTTGTGTGTTACATCGCTATGTAATCTTATTAAAAAGTATCGTTTAAAAAATGAGAATCTGTTTGCCCTCAGGATTCTTCAGTTGTGTGACAACGGAAGAAGTTTTAACACTTTATCTGTTCTGTGTGAGCTAAGAATTGTTTAAGGTTTTTAGTGATGAAAAAGCAAAACCAATCTCAATTCTTTCCATACAACGTAATCTTGAATAGTTAACGGATCGAATCGAGTGCAAATCTAATTACTCGGTTTTAGATTTGGTTCTTCAATACCTGCACTTTCATCCACTCATTCACTCACCTTTATCGAATCCAATTTAACATCAAGATTATACAGGCAAAAACTAACAAAAAACCTGCATTTTTGTCCCCGATTGCTCATTCATTCATAATGTGTTCATCGATTTTTAAGAAAAAATGACATGTTGGGGTGCAATTGTACATAATACATACACACAAATGTGGATGTATGCATATATGTGACGTGTTTTTTTAGATAGGGATTACATATACACATTTTAACTTGTTTTTTCTTATCGAAATACGTAGCGTATGGGTTTTAAGTTTATTCACACAATTTTTTGTCTTGGATTTTTACTAGCATTATTTTACTGTCAAAACTTAATGGATCAATTCCTAACATAGTTTTTCAACGATTTATCTATTAATGCAAAAAAAATGCGAATGATATATTTATCTCGCACATGTAACTTACTTATTTGGAATTGGCACAGTCTTTGAAGATTTAACTAGGTTGGAAGTAGATTAACAATAAGTCGTTATTTCTTGGAGTGAATTTGTCTGTAAAATTCGAAAAAATATGGTTGATAATGGGACAATGGTGGACATTATGAGTTTTACAAATGAGGAGTGTCTCATCGCCTATTGTGAATGTTCATGTCACGTAGAATTATTGTTGTGCACTCGCCGGTTCACTTCATGGGGTTTCCACTTTTCATACGACTTTACAAGGACAATCAGTGTCAGTTTAAATGGTATATATAGCTTCTGGCTTAAAAATATGAAAAATTTCTCGGCTGCATGCAGCAGCATGGATTGATTATTATTTCATTAATCCTAAAGTATAATATTATCCCAAAAATACCAGATAAACCCATACATTTTGATACAAAGTAATAGCTCACAATTCTTGGAATTCTCCTTACGATGGAAGGCATAATATTCTTTAATGCGATTATAGGTTGATAGATAGTTTGATGTCATGGCCTATATGGCTGACTGGTCACAAGAACCATTACATGTTGCGTCTTGTTGCACCAACCAATGCAAAATCTCGTACCAGTTAAGTAACTCAAATCTTGGGAATCCTGTTGTTGAGTGACAATGCACAATTACCAAGCCAAACTAAAATTTGCAGCAGAAAAATATCAAAATGAGATAGCAAACAGCATAAAAACGAAAGTCAACAAATTTAATGATAAACTTGAGAAAGTTGTAAACTGTTACATTTTCCATGTCAATGCTCATGCAGTGAACCTTCGCGCTAGGCTAGTTATTGTTGCAGCATGATAATTGATAATTTTTGTCATCGTCGTTGTAATGCTTTCTGAGTAACTTTTGTACGAATTACTTATGTTCATCTGCCACGTGGCAGATGGAAGGCTCATATTTCCCTTTAATTTGACTCTGGTTCTCCTTCAGGGAGCGATGGTGGCTCGTTGTACTCGGTGTCGAACGGGAGTTCTTCCTCCATCAGTAATGCGTCGTCGGGTGCAGGTCGCAGCTTGTCCATGTCGTCGCCCCCGCCGTCGTCCAGCAACAATCTCCCAGGAACGTCCTCCTACACCTCACTGGGCGGGCATGGAACGTACACGCCAAATTCTGCCGGTCTGATCAATCAACAGGTAACTGAAGTTGCACATTTTTGAGAAAATTGTAAGTTCAACAAGTCAGAGGCTGATGCACACATTCGCGAAAACCTTGGTCGACATTTTTCTTTGCAATGCATTTTGAGAAAAAGTAAAATTTGAAAACCTTATTGTTTCATTTAACCCATCCTTCAATGGACTATTCAGCATTCAACCGTTTCTTGGAAAGTTTCTACCATTGTTGCACCATTCCTTTCATTGTTTATCTATACAATGCGGATACAATTGATAAAATTGTGCATTAAAATAGAGTTCAGTAAAGCGTAAAAGATTTCTGCACATTTCTGCAAATTGTAAAGCAGGAGTCAGGAGGTGTTGTGAAAAGGGGTTAAATGTATGTAGTAAGCACACAACTGAACTGATTTTTTGGTCTTTCTTTATTAGCAAGGGGGTCATGTTTCCTCACCTAATAACAACAACACGGCCTCTCCCCCTGGGCCGTATGGGTCAGGACAAGGTCAAACTGCTGAGGAGGCGTGGGGTGCAATTCCAGGGCGTCCAAATATGACTGCATACAACTCGTCAACTCCAACCGCGACCCTGATGGGGCCTCCAAGACATCAACACTACTATGGATGGTACTAAATACTAAATCTAAATAGTGAATAAATCAGTGAATCAATCTCTTGGGTGGAGCTGACAAATCTGCATGAACCGTCATTTACACTACACCATGTATGTGGCGTAAGTGGCGAATTCATGTATGTGAGCCAGATTGCATATCTTTCCAAATTAATACTATATCAATTCCTGTTTTAAATTAATCCTACATTAAATACTTTCTTTTAAAAGATGATGGTATACCAATTAAGGTTACGTGTAAGAATGTAATTTTATATTTTTTAAAACTGCCAATCATAAAAAAATGGGGCTGTAACAAAAAAGTCTTGCCTGGACTTTGAACTTCATGATATTTTATTGGTTACTCAGATTTCAAAGCTTTCTAAAATTTACCAAAGGGATATTTTCTCCATCAATTCTTAATCATAGTCGAAAATATTGTCAAGAAGCCGAAATTTTAATATATAAAAAATACAGAATGAAAAATTTTATTAAACACGTATCCTAAAAATTAGATATAACTAGCGTTACCGTATTTAGTTGTCGAATAATGAGGAAATCAAGTTATACAGTGTATACTATATCCGAAAACCGTCAACTTTAGTGCCTGCCTGGTGAATACTACATATTTGTACATACATAATCTATTAGTACGTATTCTAGTGTAACATATATATCCAGAATATTTTAAGACATTGGCTTTTAGCGCATTTATCAATATATATGTATGTACATACCTATGTGTAAGTATGCATAAGTCTACATTGTATAAGTACGTGTGTAGATGAATGTTGAATGAGATGCCTTAAATTGCAATTAAATAAAGAGAAACAATACCTAATTATGTGTACTTGCATTCAAGAGATTCACACACCATCCAGTTGACAACAACAACCTGTTTCCGTCTCTTTATGCACATTTGTCGAGTCGATCCATTTCAAGTCATTATCACCATTTTATTTACTGTCAATCAATACGTGATGGTGTAAGGCGTCAAATCTAATCAACTTACCCACCACACTCAATCCATTCTCAAACCACTTTACCTTTTTTGTTACTTTTGTCTTAGCTCTTGTAAAATTGTAAAAGTCTACCTTGAAATTCTGTTCCGGTGGTCGGCGTGGGAGTTTGAGATTCAACAAACTTTACAGAAAATGAGATGGAACATCCACACCGAGATTTTCATTACCGTCATCATCACCTCAAATTTGTACAGTCGTCCTGTTGCATAAATATTTTTGACATGCACGTGTCAACTCTTCTTCCTCTTGGGTACAAGAGGTCTAAATACATGTAAGTATATGAGAGAAAGGCAGAATTGATTGCTCAGAAAGCTTATATGATCAACTTTTGATCGTATAAGTTTCAACAAGGAAAAATGTCGATTCATCATAATTTTTCTGTCACAACACAAAAGATCTCACCACCACAAGGTTTTAAAACCTCAAAGACATGAGCATCATGGTAAAGTTGATAGGAAATTATGAGGTTGTAATGGAACATTTCCCAACAAAAGAGATCCAATAAAAGCTGGATAGGAAATTTGGTTGCGCTACGACTTACCCATATCCATACTTATGTATCTACGACCGAAGGGTGTAATGGCTCATGTTTTATATTTATCTCATTGAATAACGTACGTACATAAACTCTTCTCCTCCCATTCACTGGGTAGAAAAAAGTATGGATGAAAAAACAATTGTTCAACATTTTGTGGTTTTTGTTGGTGTTGGTGTGACAAATCGGATGCTACCCATCTTTCCACCTCACCCTCAACTATTTTAAGCCACATCAGAGATACTTGTTATATAGTCTCCCGTACCTGCTCCTGGAAGACATGCTGGCTGTCTCGACGAAAAAGAGTGTGAAAGGAAAAAAACCACTATCGAAGACGCTATTGAAGTCTTTAAATGGTGGCCAAGTTGGTCCGTCTGAGTGTGTAGCGAAATCTTATTAAATAAGACTTGTAGGAGTAAAAATATCTGTGCTACAGATATTTTGTACACTACAGATTCTTTAGTGTACACTATGTGTATGAATTGATACAAATGCAATAAAATGTAAGATTAGTAGGAGGAGTCCTAGTTACAAAAGGAAAGCTAAGTATGTTAACGCACTAGAAAATATTTTTAAGGAATCCAATATGTCAAAATTAGGAGGAATTGTAAAATTTGGTCCTAGGTCAATTTACATAACGTACTTTTGCATAACGGTCATATTGCCTAATTTTTATTGCATAAAAGTCACTTCACATAATAAGCCTTATCACATAAATATGTATTGCATAATTGTTTCGAAATTAAGATTAAGAGGAAATTGCACATGGGGAGATTTCCTGAATGGCGTAGAATACATACTTAGTTCGAAATACATAATTCGAATTCTGCAGAGAAAAGATTCTGATTTCGTAACTTCTGTAAACTAACTTTTCAGTCAGGCTTCAGTCAGGGTTCAGTCAGGGTGGTGTAACGCACCTTTAATATTTCCTTTTTCGCCATATAGTTAGCCTAGCACTAAATCCTAAATACCGTCTATTGCAAGTTTAGAAATCAAAGGAACCCTTCGAGTTATTTTTTATGCAGAAGTACAGTAGAGTTGTAACAGGCGAGGGAGGTAAACTATTAGCAATCTTGTATAGTTACACAAGTATTGATTTTTCGGTATTAAAGTTGCTACCACTTCGTATTAAAATTATGCTGAAGCGTAAAAATTTGCTACCTATATAGTAAAACTTATTTAATACGGAGCTATTACTACAACGTATTACTATTCTGTAATCACTACTATCTTGGTAGAGTAGAGTCATACTAGTGAATGAATACCGCTTGGCAGTATTTCAATGCTGGATTTCTGTGAGTATAACAGTCACATATTGGAAAATCTATAATTATGCAATGTGTAATTATGCAAAATCAGGATTTACATAATTGATAACTATGTAAAATGGTCATTATGTAAAATGGTAGTTATGCAGCAGAAATTATGTAAAGTGACCGAAGGCCGTAAAATTTATGAATTTCTCTGGATTTCAATTTCAAAAAATCAATCGTAATTATACAATACATTAGATCTGAAAGAATTTCATGCCACACCTGTTGCTCCAACTTATGGTTAGAACAATCTTCAAAACTGTTACAAAACTGAATATTGCTTATACTTAGAGCTTATCTTCTATTTATTATCAAAACATTTAGCCTATTACGACTTGTGTAATGAACATTCGTCAGAAAAGAAGTACACAAATTTTATTTGTGTATCGTACGTAATAAATCCCCAAAGAATAATTAGCATAATTAGCAGTAGGATACATATAAATAAATAATGGCACCGTCGACCCGTTAGGTTTTACCCGAGTTACGAATGATGCAGCATTTTGTGAGATATACGAAATTGACACCCTTCTCCAGTTCCACGAAATCCCACATTCTAAACAAAAAGCTAATTGTCATTTACTAAATTTCGTTGTCACGACCTTGCGAATATGGATCGAATTGGGACAATAAATGTAAAGTGATATTCATCAGTTAAGTCGCATTCCTTTCATTCATACATAACTGTCAAGATTCCGCGAAATATTCTTTAAATACTGTAATACAACTGATGAAAAAGACTTTTTTGAGGCTGCCTAATCAACTAACAAAGAGTAGAATTTTTGCAGAGTTCTAAGAAGAAACGTGAAAAGAAATGTAGAAAAATAAATCCAACACGTCCCGTTTACCTTTTCATTAAATTTCTCATCAACAAAATCTTCATCCGAGTGCATACTTTTTCGTCTGGCATAATAACCCTGCGACCACGAGTGTTTTATATACATACTTGTTCTTACAAAATGTAAAAGGAAATGATGGGTGGATTGAGATGGAAGTCAATTTCTTGTAATTGCCATAAATATCAAAGCATGAAGTGGACATTAATCTTGAGGGACAATCTGCCGCCCTCGATGCTCTAGGGAAACCTCTCATACATATTCGATGGCGTTGTTTAAACGAATTGTGTGCATTTTCAATTTTTGTTGGCTGTAAGGATCTAAGAACTTATAAGTTCCGTCCGGTTTTCTGTAGACGTCTTTTGATGCAACACCATTTTAGATCATCCATTTCAGATTTCATTTCAATAATGTCTGATGCTGCAGGCGTCACAGATGTGGAATCGGGATAGCTCTCGGACAAATTAGCAGCATAGCAGGTGTCATCTTGTCTGCCTGGTGGCTTGCGTTGTTATTATTTTTACCATTATTATTATTATTTTGATCAATAAAAACATAATCATTGTTGTCTTTCACAGCAATATTGGTGTCGCCAGATTCATATCAGTGTTTTTATTACTTTATCGTGCACCTTGTTTTGGGAGGGAATTGAGTGCTTCCTACTTTTGTAAGTATGCTTTTCTAACTGCCCATGCATACGTATATCTCTTTCCTACTTGTGGATTTTTTGCATTACTTACGTAAACCAAACTTTTATATGATTGGCAACGAACGAGTAAAGTGCCGTTTCGTTCCTTTTTAAATGAAACCATCAAAAATAATTTCAATAGGAGCACGGTTCATTTCTAAGTAGCAGCAGTCTTATTAGGACGAGGAGGATGGTGCCATTCTTGCTCATAATACTTCGAATTGTCTTGCTCTGAAGCAGGTGTAGTTAGTTTCAATGCGTTTTTTAACTTGTCTCGAGAATACAATTGCTGAGAGTAATTTGAGAGTAATTTGTGCCAACGAGCGCGGAGGATGAGTGCGAAAGGCGCATTAGACCATTTCTGCATGCCCATTATCTTCGCCCATCAACTAATTTCTTCAATAGCCCAACTCTTAATTACCACCGACACCACCGCCGACGAGCACTGTGTCATTCATCCTAACAAATAAATATGGCATCGGTTGGTGTGGTCGTCCGTCCGAAACATGTCAAAACATTCAAGGGGCCTCGCGTCAACCTGGCGCAGTGATTCTGCGATTGTGCCTTTTCTCATCCATTCTATTCTTAACTTTGATGACTTTCACTTTAATCGCTGTGAAAAATTATTGTCTCCAGCACACCACAAATTTCTATGGGTTGTATGAAAAATATGGGACAAATTCATGCACTTGGTTGCTGTCGGGGCTGTTGGCTTTGACATTTAAAATATAAATATGATTATGATACACAGACCACATTTAATGCGTGTTTTTTGACTTAACAATCGAGACGGATTCACTTCACTCTCCGTTACAATTCCGATTTTCTGCCAACTCTATGATGTCTTCACCCTTTTTCCTTCCTTTTCCCCTGCTCATTGTTGTTGTTACCAGCGCCCAGACCCGCTACATAATGCACCTTATTAATACCACCACCAGTAGCAATACGTAGTGTTAATTTGACCTAACGCCCCTGTACGACTACATATTTGCGCAAGTATGTTCACTCTCTGTAATTAATTACAAGTAGAAAAATCTGCCATGTACAAAAGTAAAGAACGCGTGTGTGCCATTGATCCCCCCAAATTTACTCGAATGTTAGTCTTATGCTAGTCCCTCATTAAAGTGTTCAGTCAGTATGCGGTGAAATTGGCTTTGTTTACCTGAAACGAAACCATCAACCAACAACAACTTGATACTACAACTGCACAGATTATATTTCAAGCTCATAAATCACCCCAGAGGAACAGAGCACATACGTACGCAGGCGAACAAAAGTTATTTCTTATTGTCTTCTCCGTGTGATCCAAGTAAATGTTGAAATTGAATCAAAAAATGACTTAATTGTCTGCGTTCTTCTAATCGTAAGCTCCCAGTTTGGAAGAAGGAGCAGGATTATTTATTTATTTATTGTTTGAGAAATTTATTGAGAAAGTCGAGCAAAGCCG